TCTACAGTAGCGGCACGGTTATGGCTGATGAATACTAACTTTTGATGGCTCTTGCTGTAAATGTTAATATAAACCTCACACATAGTATAGTTGTAACATATTCTGCTTTAGAAGAAATGCATTGTCAGTTGTTACATTGATTTAGGAATGGTATCCTAGTTACATACCTCTATACACGCCCTCCTTCCAGTTTCTCAGGATCCATGAGTTACCAAAACTAAGCATTTGCATTCCCCTTCAGAGTGATTACTTTGGGTACGTCTTCACTACCCACCATATCAGCGGGTAGCAATCGATTTATCCGGGATCGATATATCGCGTCTCGTTAAGACGCAATATATCGATCCCCGAACGCGCTCACCGTCGACTCCGGAACTCCACCAGAGCGAGCCGCGGTAGTGCAGTTGACGGGGGAGCCACGGCCATTGATCCCGCGCCGTCTGGACCCCAGGTAATTCGATCCAAGATACTTCGACTTCAGCTATGCTATTTGCGTAGCTGAAGTTGTGTATCTTGGATCGATCCCCCCCCACAGTGTAGACCAGCCCTTTGTGTACTAGTGAGGGCAGATGGATGTTAATCTGCAAATCAGTAATGTGGCTGACCACTCTCTCTTTCTAGCCTTGAATAGGTCACAAGATATTAAGTTTACTAGTTCCAAGCTGATAAAACACAAGTCTTGTGGTCCAGTTTGTTAGACTGTTAACATACATATAACCACAGCAGATTTGCTTGATGCAACTATGTAAAGGTTTGTAACTCATCTGTGTGGCAGGATTTTTTAACACATCTATCTGTCTATCTATCATTTCTGCAGCATGAGACTAACGCAGCATCAATTACACTCTAGCAGCTGTTAGAAAGTCAGACTGTGGAAATCTGGTGAGAACAAATTCTAATCAGATAATATTGAGGCTGCTCAGCTGTTATTTCAACACAATCAATGGGGGTGTGTGTCAATTTCCTGCAGAATTTAATTTAGCCCAAATGATAAAGAAATCTCTGCATTCACCCACTTCTGTCAAGTCAAACTTTGGACACTTGCAACAAACTAGACTGAGGTGTCAGAGAGAAGTGGCAGAGCAACATGCTGAAGAGATTTTGCTTTCATTTCCATTCTCTCAGGTTACATTGAGGAAGCCTGCATTATTCCATGCCCCTCAGACTGCAAGCTCAGTGAATGGTCCAATTGGTCTCGCTGTAGTAAATCCTGTGGGAGTGGGGTAAAGGTTAGGTCTAAATGGCTCCGTGAAAAACCTTACAATGGTGGAAGACCCTGCCCCAAGCTGGATCATGTCAATCAGGTAAATCCAGTTACTTTTCTTTGCCGATATATTCCTTTATTTCTGTGTTGACAAATTGTATTACATATATAAAGTCAGTGAAGAATCCTTCCCTTCTATGTACTTCACATGCTGTTTGAATTGAATAATATGGACCGGCACTGGTGGAAGACAAAAAGTCCTTATATGCAAAATTAGTGTTAGGGTGTTTCTCTGTGGATTTTTTTTTTAAAGTCCATGCAATATGCTGTATTACAAAGCCAAAACTTACAAGGCCCAATTCTGCCTTGATTACCATCAACTTCAGACACTCATCACCTTGCAAGATCAGCTCTTCAGCAGTATGTTTAAGAAAAAGAGATAAAGCTCTCATTATTCAGAGAGGGAGGTTGAACTACACAGTACAGGAAATTCCCCTCCTTAATTCAAACACTGCCATACATTATAGATAAAGTACATGCAAAGTAAGCAGCCCATGAAGAACACCAATTCATTCTGTTCAGTCTCCTCCTCCTCCATTTGAATATCATCATGAGAGCTGTGCATTGAGGCAGATACTTTGGTATAGTATTAATACCTGGTGCTAAATATTAAAAAAATACTGCCACTTCTTCACTAAGGAGGAAATTGCTCTCCATTGTAAAAATATCATGGGATCCAAACTCCTTGTCAGACTGATAAATGTTGTTATTCTGGTCCTGAAAAATAAAATAATCCCCCCAAAGCCCCTTTAAAGGGCCTGGTGGCACTCCTCCGGTCCTGCCTTTCTTTCTTGTAGATACTCCATGCAATCAGTGAAATCATTGTGTTAGCCCATCCTCCTTTCCACCGCCTCCCCCCATCACCACCACAAAAAACAAACAAAACAAAACCCCAGAAACATTCAACGTATCCACAGTGTGATCCTTGTGTCCTCCTTAGCATCCTATAGCCAAAATTGGCATCCACATGGTTTTTGGCCTTCCAGGTGCACTTGTTTTAAAAAAAACTGATTGAGACTAAAACTTGAACGTCTAACTACCTGGGTGTTAGAATCCTTCCCAGGGCAGCAGTCAGCCAAACTGATCTTGGGGGTGCCGCACTAGGGTCTCATGGAACTGTAGGTCGATACAAAACACTGACACAAAGCAGGAAGTTTTTAAAAAAAAAAATAAGTTCTGGCCTTGCCAGGCATGTAAGACCTGCTGCATGTAAAGTTGTTTGGTTGGGCAGTTTTTAGCCTTTTCAGGTTCCTTGTCTCTCTTCAAATTTGATTTATATTCATCTCGCATTTGGATTTAATTTTCATTTGTGGATAGCATGTTAAATGGCCCCATATTCATCTCCATAAATATTCAGAGGGGGAAAAAAAATCTGGCCATTCATATTCGAATAAGGTGCACGTTATTAATACCATTTTATTGACATTTTGTCGACACAGAATGAAATGGTGTGTTGATTTAATGTTTCTACTTAAGGGTATATAATTAGTTTTGAAAGTGCTTAAACTATAGCTAATAAACTATGTTTATAGTTCACTTGAACACAAAATGCAAGTTTCATTGAATGCTGTGTTGGTTTGGAGGAGCATATTAAAACTGTTTGAAATTACAGAAAATACATTATAATAGGAACAAATTATAGTTTATGAAAAAAATCTCTTCCTGCTTGTAATATTCATGTGGCACAATATTTCATAATAAGATCTTCAGGATGTCAGAGGAGAAGTTGCTATATTTGTATTAGAGAACTCATTTTTTGTATATAGCACTGCTGCCCTCTACTGGTATATAACCTAGGATCTTATTTGCTGCAGCTTTATAGCTGCTAAAAATTCAAATATTAAATTACTATAACAAAGATAAAATTGCAGTCTGAGATTGCATGGGGAAGAGGCTGTGCCATCCATAAAGCTAAGAGTTTGTATCCCTTAATATTAAATACACTTCACTGTAAATCCTTAAGTGTGGAAATCCCACAAACCCAGTCTGTGCCAATGACCAAACAGCTGCCCAGGGCTGTTTAATTAATCCACACCTGCTCCACAGCTCAAAGAAAATCAACAGAGCAAACTAGCACATTGTCATATCACCACTTCAGGACGAAAGGCATAGCCACTTGTAAACAATAGTTTGTAATATAAAATGTAAGGGTTAGATTTTGCCATTGTAGTACCAGTGTGCTTGGGAGAGGGCTCAGAGGACCATGCTACAGTTGGAGATGATTCAGCAAGAATTTCCACTGTGGTCTCCCAGAAAACATACCCATAGCTACACCATCCTTGGGGAGAATGTGACATGCTCAGTTCTCCATGCCAGATTCCAACCCTCAACACCCACTCTTTCAAGTAGCTGGCACACACAGGGTTGTGACTAGAAAGGCAGGGCCTGGACTCCACACCCATGTTGCAAGATGGGGGAAGGGAACCTTGCCCTCTTCCCTTAGGCACATCCAAGCAGGAACTGATCACAATCTGGCCCTTAATCTAAACCTATTTTCATTAATAAATGATGTTATTTTCTAATTTAAATTATTTGCAAATATATCCATACATGCCAACTGTCCCATTTAAAGGGCGAATGTAATAAAACCATTAATTGTTTTTCTGCTCTCTCCATCTTAAAGTATCTCATTTGGGGCTAAAAGGTGTGTCTCTATTTCTTTTTCCTTGAATATCCTTATTTATGATTTTCTCTTATTGGCAGAGGTGTATGCACAGCAAATTCTCTCATGGAGAAAAGTGTGATATATGGATAAGCAAATATCTTAAATTACCTGTGGAGCAGGAAATTGTTGAAACTAGCTTTTGAAGATTTATTCTCTTTTCCCTAAGCATCTATAGTTAAAAAAATAAAATAATCTGCACTGCTATAGTGAAGGTTTGCAGATGATACTGGGTCCAATTCACTGAAAAATTCTCTCTCTGGCTTTCAAAGAGTTTCTGCTAGAGGCAGATCCCAGTTTCCTGGGGAAAATAACATCTACCTTTTCTTTGGCTTCAGTGATTCTCTGCGTCCCCACCTACCTAGGCAGGCATGGAGTCCATGACTATGTTGAGCTCTAAGTGCTTGCTATCAGTGACAGTCACATAAATGCCAATAATGTCGAGAGACCTCCACTAACACCTGGGACACAGGCATGGGCTCTGTCTTGGCTGACAGGTGCATTGCTGACAACAGCTAGAGAGTGCCATATTGAGATTCTCCTTTAGATTGTCTAGTAATGTTGGCTCTAGCTTGCTGATAGCAGATATATCAGACAACTAGAGAAGAGCTTTTAGTGGCAACTGGTTTCAAATACTGGACACAAACTTAGGACAGGCTACAAAGATTTTAAAAACGTGTGAAGGATGAGAACTTTGACACTTTCTCCACCTTTATACCCATCCCACGCTATCTGTCAGTACAATATTGATAATATATAAAACACAGTCTTCCATCCAAAACCGCTCAGGAATTTCTTCAGTCTTGGAGAAATTGAACTCCGCAGCCTGTAAAGAATTGATACCCATGGTAGGCAGAGAATAAAATAGTTTAGCCATGTGTTCTAAACAGTGTGAAGAAGAGGTGAGCATATTTGCACTAGTTCTCCATCAAGGTGATGTGCAAAAGAATTTTTTTCTCTTAAATGCTGACTTCTTGCAGAATGTGTCAGTAGAGATACAAGAGGGAAAGCTATGTCTTATCTGGCCTAAGTGGTGAGGCTTTCTGCTTGGTAGAGAGCATAGAAGATTGTTTTTAACCAATGAAGCACTAAATGTACACCATTCAAATATCTGTGTTTCGCTCACTAACTAGTGTTTCTATTTATCTTTGGTTGTTCCCTTGGGTTCATGGCAAATACCTGCTCCAGGCTCAGGTAAGAGTCTCTAAAATAGACTAACCTTATAATGTGCTTCCTGACCAAGTTCTATAATGTATGCACTGTTTGGCCTTTTCTGTAATTGTTCTTTAAAAAGATATATGTGATAGTACATAGGATGCCATTTTTAATGTACCTCAGACCGTCTATATAGAACATTCCAATCTTAGCATGATATAATAACTTTAAGGCTTCACAGTTAAAAATAGTTTAAGTTAAGGGGCCAGATTATGCTCTGATTTACATTGATGTAATTTAGGGAGTGATACCATTAGAATCCACTCTCCCCAAACAAACCAAACATCCACAACTAATAATATTAGGTGCAGGTTGGCAAATGGAGAAGTAGAAGGCTGGCTTCCCTATTAGAGCAAAGTTAAGGCTGTTGTGTGTGTGTTCTCTGGTGTATGTTAGTAGTAATGGTAAAGTGCATGCATACTGGTGCAGAAGAGAGTTTATACTGTTAGGGATTTAACTTTTCATTTCCTTGCTTTGGTGTCAGGTGTTTTATGTCTGTTGTAACAGCAACTGTCTCACAATTTACTTGTACATGGATTAAGATTAAATATATTTGTTATCTTTACAAAGTAGCAATAATGTTTGTGTTGCTGCTATGTCAGAATGACAGCTCCTGTATACTTATCATATTTGCATACTGTGTGCAGCAAACTTACACTCTGTGTGGATTCCAGGTATATGAGGTGGTCCCATGCCACAGCGACTGCAGCCAGTACATATGGGTTACAGAACCCTGGAGCGTCTGCAAAGTGACCAATGTTGACTTAAAGGAGAACTGTGGAGAAGGTGTACAAACCAGGAAAGTGAGGTAAACAGAATGTAATCCTTCTCTTAAAAAACAAAAACAGAAACCCTCACCTTTAAATTATGATGGGATTAAAGAAGCAAAATTCTATAGAAGAGTATTTTGACAAAGGCATTTTCACAAAAGTTTGTCTACGGAATGTTAGACCAGAACCTCAGCTGGTGTAAATCTGTGTAGATTGAACTCAGTGGAGCTAAACCAGTTTACATAGTCCAAGAACTAGCCCTTTGTTTCTGTTTTTTTTTTTAAACATAAATTATACTTTATAAAAATAAAACTGTAACTTACATTTATATAGTGCCTTTCAAGATAACCCCCAAGTTCTTTATAAATTTAACATAGAGATCAATTCTCATTTATCAGTAAAATGCAATCACCTCTGGGGTGAAACATGGCAACCTATTTTACAGTGCACAGCAATACTGTACAACAATTTAGTGCAAAAGGTGAAGGATGCCATATCCAACTGAAAACACAGTGTATTAAGGTATTCAGAATGTAATCACCCCAGTTTGAATTTGGCCAGGGCTTGTAGTTAATAGCCCTGTTAATTAAAAATGCTGAGAGAACTTTACAACAGGTGGTCAGTGCCTCAGACTTGCTTCTCAGCCCAAAGACAGATTAATGAATTGTGGGGAGTCTTATGTTATCATTAGCGGTGCTCCTTCTATTTCTGAGTTTTATACGTAAGGAATAAAGAACTCTATAGCAGTGTGACAAAGATCAGTAGGAATAGCTATGTGTCCACAGTTGTTCTTGGAATGATAAAGAAAAGCTATGGAAGTCCTTAACCATATTTTAAATTTGGAACGTATTTTGGCCTAGAAAGTGCTAAACATAAAAGTAATGGGTGAAAATCTCTGCTCCATATTAAATTGGCACAGCATCAGAGCAGAGAATTTGGCCCTATATCTGGTGCTGGTTTTCAACACCTTTTTGTTACCCTAGTGGTCCTCTAGGTCTGCTAAATCAGCCAGTGTGAACACTGGATTTGAAGTGCCAGTGTTCCAACATGGTTGTAATATTTCTGACACACTACAGTGGAACAAACTCCTGACAACAAATTCACAGACACTGGCTGAGTCTGGAAAGTAATCACCTCCAGAGGGAGAACAATTCTGCTCAGAAGCTGACTGTATCATGATTACAGCATGATTCTTATGGAGTTAAATAGTTTGATAGTTTGAGTATAAATTCACACGGAGTAGGATATAGTTTTAATTGTTTAGTTGAATTTAGTTCTAGTGAAAGGTGCCAGATTTACAGTGCAGAGATTGAAATCCTGTGCCCAGAGAGCACATTCAGCACAGGATGATGTTGTGCAAGAGTCTCTGGATTATCCCTTTAATTTACTAGAACACTGATCCAGAGCGACGATCTCTGAGGATAAAAGGGTAGTTCAGTGTCCATGATCATTCAATCCCTGACCTCTTCATGAAGATTACTAACAAGGTTGTCAATTGATTCCAGTTGTGGTGGTGGATGCTTGTTTACTGGGAAATGGACTGAGACTATTCACCTTGACCATATTTTATGATTATACTGCTTCTATGAGTGTCAGATGGTTGAACTTTAAATCCCAATTATGACTTTAACACATTTTCCCCCTGAAAAATAATTCACAGGGCTACTCCGGGCAGTTCTTTTCTGATCAAATATTTTGAGTTAATCAGTCCCACTTCTGAAAAGGAAAGAAAAGGCATTTTTAAAAAGCATGCATATTTGTTAATACCAAAACCTTCTTACAATTGTTGAACGCTTGTAGTACAATGACGTTGAAAAACTGGGCTTCCTGGAATAGTTAATCTGAAGGCCAAGTAGTGCATTGCAATGCTGTGTTAAACTCAGCCTGGTTCAGAATGCTGTTTTTTCCCCCCTTTAGTTAATTAAAAAAAAAAAGGTACATTCTCTCCCCCCCCCCGAACTCTGTAAAACTGTGAATTTAGTGAATTTAGTGAAACAAGTCCAAAAATCTTGTTCCAATATTTACTGAATCTGATCCAAGCATCCTGTCTACTGATCAACTTACACCTCTACTCAAAGACTTGCTTAAGAGAAGTCTTGCATGGTAATGTACATAGCAAGAAGTTCAGTGTTGATTATATATTATTCTCTAAGGCTACCTATAGAGCAACACACAATTTAAGAAGTCATCTCTGTCTGCATGTTAGAATGACAAGCCATAAAATGAATTCAGTCTACAGGACCCATTTGAAGACCAGATAGATTAATTTCCAAAGATTCTCTTTAATGTACCACAAGTACTGTAGCAATTGCTAGATTTGACAAGATTTAAAACAGAAGCGCTCCTTGAATTTAACAATTTATTTGAAGGTCAGATTTTTAGTTTTCGCTTGTCACAAATACTAAAGTGTGCATAATTTACTCTAATATAACAGCAACCAAAATAGATATTGGAAGTCCCACCAAGAGTTTATTCTTTTTTTAAAAAAGCAATAAGTACTGGTGATGGTGGTGGTGATGCTTTAGGCTCTCTCCAGAGGTACACAGCTTTTGAAACTACCATCAAAGTTAAAGAAGAAAATACATTATTTATGCCAAAGAAAGGAATTTCAGCCCTTTGGGATGAACACACACAAAAAAAACTACCTTCCCTTTTGCCATCCATATACTAACTCTCATTGGATAACTAATTCCACCAAACAGATTTTTGCAGATACAGTATCTCTGTTGGTTGTGTTCATTTAAAATAATCTCATTTTAAAAATGTTTTCAGACTGACAGCATGAGATCTTCAGGTACACAGGAATTGGTAATGTAATAAAATGGTATAGTTTTAAAATATTGCAATGAAAGTGAAGGTTTAACACAGGGCTAGCCCACAACATTTTGGCACCTGAGACGGGGAGCTCAAATGACGACCCCATCCCCTCTCGCTTGGGCCAAAATTTTCAAAGGTCTCAATTCTGCCTTCTTCCTGTTCTACTCCTCTCATGGTACTGCTCTGCTACCTACCCCAATAAAGGAGAACTAACAACTTAAAATGCCTTGTTCAAAAATTTTAAATAGCACTTAACTTTCAAACACCTGAACAGCAAATGTAACCTTTCTTGTCTGCATAGTAAACACTGGCATTTTTGTCTGTTTGAATAATCAAAGTGGTGCTTTCCGTGCCTTCTTGGTTGCAAAGATTTGAACTGCTTCCTGAAGGTCCACAGTCTGGGCCAGCTCATGCTCTATTGAGATGGTTGCATGGCCAACCAGCCTCTCCTGTGTGGTTGTGGAGCGTAGATGTGTTTTTATTAACTTCAGCTTGGAGAAGCTGCGTTCTCCACTGGCAACTGTTACAGGAAGTGTTAGAAGTATGCGCAGAGCAACAAAAGCATTTGGAAAGAGGGTGGTCATCTTATTTGTGCACATATATTCCAGAACAGCCTTTGGAGTTCAGCCTGCTGAAATGTATCTTGAAAGGACTTTCAGTTCATCACCTAAATCACTCGCATCAATATCGTGCATGTCATCCTGTGTCAACACTGTCTCTAGTGCCCTGCATTGGTGGTGTAGGTCTTCAGCTACAGTGAGGAGTTTTGGAATATACAACATCCCAAATATACTGCTGTATTCTTTGAGCTGCATGAAACATTCTTCAACTGACTGTATTGCACAACCTAGCACCTGGTTAAAGAATTCAACTTTGAATTGTTATTTGGGGTCTCTTATGGGATTATCCTGTGCCTCATAATCAAAATGTTGTCTTCTTCGGTGACTCTTGTATTCTTGAATGGGTGGGAAAATAGCTTCAGTGAGAAGTTCCTCTGCCAACTTCTGTGCACTCTTCAGAACATTTTGAAATCCCTCATCTGACCGGTATGACTGTTGGTATGACTTTGCTTTATCCAGTTGTTCCATTGCTCCAGATACATCAAGGTCAACACCTTGGAGTCTCTTGTTTACAACATTTATTTCAAACAGTATGTCATGCTACAACACTAAGCCACACAGAAATTTTAAGTTATGTATGTTTCTGGTGATTCCATTTTCCTCTGCCACTGTTCTCCCACGAACAGTTCCTGTCATAGCATTATCCCCCATAATGGCAACCATGGCATCATCTATCTTCCCAATTTCGTGTTTGATAGGCTTTATCGCCTCCACTCGACTTTCCCATCGTGTGGCACTCAGTGGTTTCAGTGTCAGAGAGGAAGTTCCCAGATGTTGCTTCAAAATTTGCCATCAATGAGTTGATGCAGAGAAAAATACATAGATGCTTTGAATTACATTAGAAAATTCAGCAGCCTCACTTGAAGCTGATGCTGCATCACTGACCACCAAGTTCAATGAATGAGAACTGCATGAGACAAAAAAAGCTCGAGGGTTTAACTCTCGGATCCACATCTGCACTCCTCTGTTCTTTCCTCTCATGTTGGCCCCATTATCATAGCCCTGACCTCTCATGTCAGCTATCACAATTCCCGTATCTTCCAGCTTTTTAAGAAGCACATTTGTCATACCAGCTCCTGTAGTATCATCAATGTCAATAAATTCTAGAAAATGCTCTCTGACAGTCACCATTGCAGAGACATGTTCACTAGGTTCTGTTGTTGTTACAAAATGCATCATTAAAGTCATTTTTTTCCGTATGGATGATGTCAGGTGTGCAGTCCAGAATAACAGAGTAATATCTTGCTGACTTCAGATCTGCCACAATCTTCTGTTTGACTTTTGTTGACACTAACTGTATGATCTCATTTTGAATTGTTTTTCCAAGGTAGTGGTGCATGTACATTTCTTGGGTGGTGACTCTTCTTAAATGCTCCTGGAGTACAGCATCAAACTCAGCCATCAGCTCCACAATTTTAAGGAAGTTTCCATTGTTTGGCACAAACAGCTGATCTGAAGTGCCACGCAGTGCTAGGTTTTGGGTAGCAAGCATTCTCACAATGGCAATGAGCCTTTTCAGAACATTTTGCCAGTAAAGAGACTGATGCAATCTTCTCTTGATGCTGATCATCTATGGTGGCCTTTAACCTTAGTCTCATCTCAAGCTCTTTCCACCTATGGTGGAATCTGGTGATTTGCTGCCTTCTCATGGCATGCCAGATTTCTAGCCAGATTTTTCCAGTCCTTTGTTCCTGTAGAACCCAATGTGGCTGGAACATTACACTGGAAGAGTTTGCAACAAAAACAGTATGCAGCATTCTGGGTTTTTGAGTACATAACCATGGCCTCTCCACTTTGTCACCATTGGGGATTTCATGCCAGTAATGTGTTGGATGGAAACTTCTATTTTCATTGTCTTTGGGGAACATGACATTTTTCACTTGCTGTGGCCCACGCAGTACAAGGAAGTCCCTCAGTGCTCAAGTGGGTCCACAGTCCTGGATCATCTAGACTTAAGGAACTAAACTTAGCAGCAGCTGTTTCTTGTGCCTCCAACATACTCTTCTCTGATCTACACTTTTCTTCAGGAATGTGCATGGTTACATCCATTTGAGATGGAGATATGGCTGCTGCAGTAGCTGCCAGGTCACCTGCACTCTGACTAACTGGAAGATCAGGCATCTCCTCACCACTCACATCCTCACTGGGGCTGGAAGGCTCACTGTGAATATTTGTGTCTATGTATCTCAGGAGAGCTCCTTCCTGCTTAGATAGAAAAGCTTCCTTTGCTTGCTTTCTTTTTCTGAATGCTGCCCCAAAGGGGCGTTTTCTTCTTTCACTCATGACTGCTGTTCTGTGCTAGCTATAGTGGCTCTCAACACTCAATTGAAGGGGACAAATAAGCAGGCTGGTAGCAGGGCCTGAGTGAGGGAAGATATCAGCGTCTTAAGGGCCTAACTGGCTTCTACTACTTCAGTTGACTGCCTGTTCTCCTCAAGTGGGTTCAGCTAAGCAGCAGGAAACAGGAAGCTCCCTGAGAAGCTGGTGTTAATCAGTCCAGGCTCCTGGGGATGCTAGAGAGGTACATAAGAAGCTCCTCCTCCTCTCTCACCCTGCAGCTCCTGCTGCTTTCTGTTATTCCCTCTCACCTTTTCTCCTGCCTGCCTGTTATGTCTCTTGTGCCCTCCTTCCTCTGCGCACATTCACTCAGCAAGGCTGTGGCTGTGCAAGATTAGAACTCAGGAGCTTCTCACCCCTAGCCCTGAGCTTCAACCGATATACTGCACTGCTGCCTGCAGCAGAAAAAAACCTGGGGATATTTTGACTTTTTCAAATTCTCATTGGTATTTTATAGTTCATTATTTGGGTTGCATCAAAAATGTTCTAGATTTTTCTATTTGTATATTGCTTGTGGTCAAACTGCTAAAATGCCATGCTATGTTAGTGTAATGGATGCAGATATTGTAGGAAATCCATAGCAAATATGTTTTATGTATAGCCTTATATTTTCCCAGATGCATGCAAAACACAGTGGATGGTCCTTCTGACACTGTTGAGGACTACCTGTGTGACCCTGAAGAGATGCCTCTTGGTGCTAGAAGATGCACGTTGCCATGCCCTGAAGACTGTGTTATGTCTGAATGGGGCCAGTGGTCTAGATGTTCCTTGGTAAGAAACATGTTAACAGCTTGACACTTAAGGTTTCAAGACTATTTTATTTAAAGAAAGTAAGCCTCAAGTTACTATGCAGAGATGCTACACTTAACAATAGACACATGCAAATGATTATAAGTTCCTATCAACTGCATTATTGGCAACAGCAGATTGGCAACAATCCCATCAAGAGGGCAGTGTGTCAGCATTTCTTCATTGAAAGCAGTTGTTCAAGAAATCACCTCTTAATGCTGATACTTTCATGAGCTATTGCCCTCCATTTTTAGGGAAGGTTAATTTCGGATGAGTCAGCTTTGGTAATATCTAAAGACCTTAGATCCTGTTCAATCTGGCTTTATCTCTCTCTGTAAAAACACCAGTAGGGGCAGGCCTACACTTAAACGCTGCAGTGGCACAGTTGCACTGGTGCAACTGTGCTGCTGTAGTGCTTCAGTGAAGATGCCACCTTCGCCAGTAATGGGCTTCTCCCATTGGGGTAGGTACTCCACCTCTGCGAGAGGCGGGTAGCTATGTCAGCCCTCCATCAACATAGTGCTGTCTGCACAGGGGGTTAGATCGTTATAATTATGTCGCTCAGAGATGTGGAGTTTACACACCCCTGAGTGATGTAGTTATACCGATGTAATTTTATAGTGTAGACTTGGCCTGGGTGTTCATTAGTGAGAGAGTTATCATCTGTAAAGAGCAAAAAGATGCAGGTAAAAGACTTAGGCTAGGTCTACACTACCCGCCTGAATCGGCGGGTAGAAATCGATCTCTCGGGGATCGAATTATCGCATCTCGTTGGGACGCGACAATCGATCCCCGAATCGACGCTCTTACTCCACCAGCAGAGGTGGGAGTAAGCGCCGTGGACTGGGAGCCGCGGAGGTCGATTTTGCCGCCGTCCTCACAGGGGGGTAAGTCTGCTCCGATACGTCGAATTCAGCTACGCTATTTGCGTAGCTGAATTTGCGTATCTTAAATCGACCCCTCCCCCCCCCGTAGTGAAGACCTGCCCTTAGATGAAATTAAAGATAGCTTACTCCATCAGCCCTGTGTTTTTGGCTGTCTGGAGTCTCAGGTGAGAAAGCGAAACCAGTGAGACTAAAAATGGGGTTCTCAATTTCAGAAGCTTGGGGAAATAGGGGTTTTTCCTCAGCATCTGAGTCGGTGCACTGCAGATTTTGGAGAGGCAGCTCATAATCTGGAAGTTCAGATACTCAGTTGCTTTAAGGCACTATCAATGAAATGTGAACTAGATAGGGAATTATTAAGGCATTACCAAGGTAGTTAGGTATTATTAATTCCTTGGTATTATTACCAAGATAAAATAGCAAACTAAATCCTCCCATAAAATAACAAGGAAAGAATCCCTTCTAGGCAAAGTATAATGTCATTGTTTTACATTAGCATTTTGTGAAAAGGATGCTTACAAGGCTGTTATGTTTCTAGGTGGAGAGACTGAATATATCAAAAACCATTGTTTCTGTTTTCCTTTTCAAGCCCTGCAACGGAAGTAATGTGCGTGAAAGGTCAGCGGAGCCCCTAAGACAACCTGATGAAGGAAAGGCTTGTCCTGCCTCCACTGAGACAGAACCTTGCAGTCTGAACAAAAACTGTTACCACTATGATTACAATGTGACAGGTATTAGCGTTCTGACAATCTAATAACAGGCTGTAAAAATATAAGAGCTCAACCTATTTTCACAATTTAGTTCTACATACAACTAAAAATTAACGTGTGAGTCAAGTTTGCCCAATTAGCACCTGGCTTTAAACCAGGGCTCAGGGTCCTTTATTTCTGATCCAACAGAAGTACACTAGAGGAACCTCTTTCACTCAGTCTTGCTAAAGTTGCTCTCAGCAGGTAGTAAAGAAGAGCTGGGTTGGCTATGCTACAGATGCTTCCCCCTAGAGTTGAAGTTATGGCCTTCCAGAAGCCCCTACCCCTCCCTACAACTAACTATAACCCCCTGTCTGCCACCATATCCAAGGTGTTTCTCTGGTTAGTCAGGCTCTCTCCTTTTGTAGTGAAATTGTGTTAATAGTGAAGGGGGGTTGTGTGTAAGAAGAGATAAAATACCTATAAGAGGCATCCATTGTACTCAAAATATAGGTCTTTCTGCTTTCTTGTATTATCTAATGTGGTCTGTACAGTCTGTAGTGAAAATAGAGTGAAACACTTTGATTCAGAGAAAATGCTCTTGAGAAACTGTGTAATTTGAGAATGATATGACTTCTATAGCCATAGAAAATCTATTTCTTTGGCCATTTTTATATATATATGTGTGTGTGTGTGTGTGTGTGACTTGCCCCCAAAAAATCCAGATAAACACAATATTTGACTTTTCAGAAATACATCATGTCACTGGGTACCTAACTATGGTTATTTCCAATATGTCTAGCTAATGGGTTTCATGAGCTTTTGAATGTGTAAAAATTGATTCCGAGGGTTATTTTTAGGCCGTTTGAATTAAATGTATTATTCAAGTAATCAAAGCTTCATCAGAAATCAGTTCCATTGGCATCCTGTCCTGATGGTCTCCTTTATTTCCAGACTGGAGTACGTGTCAGCTCAGCGAGAAGGCAGTCTGTGGTAATGGCATCAAAACAAGAATGCTAGATTGTGTTCGCAGTGATGGCAAATCAGTTGACCTGAAGTATTGTGAAGTGGTGAGTGGGGGGCTCTTTTCCTTTTGTGAGTAAAATCTTCCTAAAAGCTTTAATTCATGCTGAGCTAGCTGACCTGCGCTGCATGTAACCCATCGCCGACAGATGTTTCTCAACATTATTCATGAACTGTTAAGTACTCCTTGAAATGAGGCTGTGTCATCACCTGTGATTTCTTCATAAAATTTCCCCTGGTAGCTTATGTGTGCACCCACAAAGGGGTGCTGATTATTATATCCTGAAGGAAATGATTTGGGAACAATAATCAATCATGGTGAATAAAGGTAGTAGATCTTAATCAGAATGCAAATCATTCCAATTTGATGTGATTTCTGTGTAGTACCTTGGACAGCTGCCGATATCAATCATTTATTCAGTGTGTTGCTAAACGTGTGTCATGTGCCATTCTGCAGCCAGGCTGAGTGCTAGCTTCTTGTACCCAGCTGTGTAAGATGAGAAACATCCAAGCTGTGTGAAAAATTTGCTGCATTAACAAGGAAATGGAACTTCTTACATAAGCATGTTCGGTGGGAGTAATATTCAGCAGATGGATCACCTTAATTTTATGTAACTGTTTCATGAATCTGTTTTTAAATGACTGCTCAAGGCAGATACTACTATTGCTTTGGTCATTTCATGGGTCTGTTAAAGGAGACTGTATCTATTAATGATTGATGCTGTGCAGATCATACCATGAAGGACTATGGAGAAGAATACACCAAGGTTTGCATTACAGAGAAATCTCCCTAGTTGTGCCAATGGAAAGTGGCTGAGATTGCCTCAACCCCCTAACAGAACAGACATTAAATCACCTGAAAAGCAGGAGACTATAATCACGTGCACAGAGACCATGTGCCCTCCACAATAGCTCAATTTGATCAGCATCCCTTCCCCGCTCTCCAATGGACTTCCCTTGCTGGAAGCTGCTTCCCAGGACTCCTCTTTAAGGAAGGGGAAGGTTGCCAGTGGTGGAGGGAGCTATGAAAAGGCCATACATACTGGGCAGTGTTATATTTGAGAGAAATTCTGCCAGGCTGGTGCTATTTGTGTCCCTCCTGATCTGCCCACTCCTTTCCCAACTCACTCAATGCCCATGTGGAACCCTGAACCCACATGTTCTGAGCAAAGGATGCTGCAGTGGAGGCCACTAACATGTCCTCTCTTCTGAGCACACAGGTTTTCCTCTACACATGGCTCTTGGGAGTATGATCAGGCCTCTTAATATGACCATTTACATTCTAAAGTTTCAGGGCAAAAAATCAGCCCTCGGATGCCTGCCAGCAAACTCCACTGAAGTTAATAGGAGCTGTCTTGTAGGTTAGAAGACAGAATTTGGTGCTCAAGCTATTTTTAGGAGATTACCGTATTGATGATTATATAATGAGACATTGTATAAGTTATGGTCTGTCCACGTGAACATGTCAACAGAATGAATGCTTTTCATGAAACAATAAGTAACAATGGATTTCTTTCTCCGTAAAGCTGTAGTAGTTCTTCCCATATATATTAATCATTTATTATGTATCTACAAACTGTGAATTTGGGCAGGATACAGGGCAAATTATTGTTACTTTGTAAATGGAGATCTCATTGTAGAAGCCTTGAGCAGCTTTTCCCTAATTAACGGGTGGGTATTTGGCTGGTTAGACAGTGAGGACAATGGAGGCAGCAGAACAACCATTTCAAAAACTTCGGGACTTGAGTGGCTAGCCAGCCAGAAGTCCTGGTAGCCACACCACCATTTACCAGTGACTGCAGCAATACAGTCCTACTTTGGGGGACAACATACAATGATCCACTAGGTTTTTAATTCAAGTCCAGAGTATTCACGTAGTCTGCATATACAAAGCCCTGATCCACTAACAGTCTTACCATTCAAGCCCTTCTATTTGTTACGTTTTATGGATGTAAGAAGTGGCACAGCAAGGTCAGTGACTAATCCAATAACTGTAGCGTAAGACCTGTTTACCTGATTAGCAAGAAAGCCAAGCTGTTGGAATCTTAAAACACCTTTCATTCTGGGGGAGTGAAAGTGAACTCTGTGAACTTTCATGTCATCAGAAGAAGTGGGATTTAAGATATGACAAACTTTTTTTGCTAATCTGATTAAAAGTATTCTCTTTAGATTTTTATAATATGTACTATATGCATTGTAGTAAACCCTTTTTAATCTCATTCCTTTTACATATGTGCAGTGTGGTGGTGCATAACAGACAGATGCCTGTGTCTAAATAATATTACAGACTCATTAGTTATACAAAACTCATTCTATGTTTATTTACAGATACATCAAAATTGGTAACTGTCATTGTTTTTACTTAAGGTAGATGCAGAGAACAGAGATCAGAATAGCCACCCCTACTCTGAATTCTTAATAAGTAGAGATATCATCAGCCAAAATGTTATAGCTACATATAATTACATTATCCAAGAGAACAATAAAACCTTACCTTTCACTCTGCAGCGCTATCATCATTATATCCAGATGCAAGCTTAAGCCCAGTAAAATTCTAAAATTCCATCCTGATGCTATACCAGTGGTTACTGTCCTACTGCGGTCTATATGGTTTGACATTAGTTTCAGTCAATTGGCTAAAGAAGTTATCCAATCATCCTGATTACTGCCAGGATAAATCAATTTCTAGCGCTTTTTTCCAAGTCGTATATTTCTGTGTAAACTCTCAGAGAACATTAATAGTGGATCACTTGGTCGCTGCCTGTTGTAAAATTAGCACATCACAGAACTCTTCCTGCCATTTCCTTGGGCTCTTTAAAATTCAAATCACCTAATTCAGGATGCTGCCCCCACTTTACCCCCTGCAAATACCTGTGAGTTTATTGTTACTCACTTGCGTTTACAAATCAGAAGAATCTGGAGACAAGCGTTTTGTCTGTATCGAACAGCAAGCTTCACTACTTTATTAGTACACACTCTGTTGGTCAGCCTTACATGATAAATCTCCAGCTGAGGGGTAGACAAAGATCTCTTGTTGCATTACAGATATACTTGCAGACATGCAAGTATATGTCTATGGACACAAAGTAACACAGTTTGCAGAGGACGCTTGTCTGGCAGTCTGCTGCCTCCTGCCACGTACAGCCAAGAATACAGAATGCTTAACTTTTACATATTCAGTACAACTTCAGTATTTGAAAATCACTAATCAGAAACCACCTGTTATCCAACACAAGGCCGTGTCCATTGGGATTTCCAGATGAGGGAAGTTTATATATTTTTCCAAATGCTTAGCCAGCCATGGTTTCCAGGGCCTGGAAGCTCAGAGGGACTTCTTATACCAGAGAAAAGGGAGGGGAACAATGGATAAATAGGAGAGAGTTGGAGTCCTGATTACAGTGATCTATTTGGCTTCCCCAGAGCTGGCTCTGCAGTATTTCAGCACACCAGGCTGGGGAAGCCAGCCAGCACTCTGTAATCTGGGCTGTGACTCTCTCCTGTTCACCCTTTGCTTCCCTCTGGGACTTCTCTTTCTCCAGCTGCTGAAGTCCTGCTGAGCAGGCCAGCCTTGGGGAAGCGAGCCAGTTCTCTGTAATTGCATGGAATCGGCTCAGCGGGCTTTGAAGTCTGTGCTCAGAAGAGCTGACCCTGAGAGCAGACTTCAAAGCCTATTGGCTGGTTTCCTGATTATCCAACCCTTGATTATCAAAAGGGTTTCAGGTGTCCACTGAGAGCTTCGGATAATCGAGGTTACACTGTACAACAGAGAAAAACGAGGAATTCATTGGTTGATCCATAAAACAGAACAAAGGTCTCCTACCTCATTTGTCTCAGTAAATGACACTTCAAATGTAAGTCTAATGCTGCCAGTATATCAGGGTCAGAAAGCTATGGTATGTGCAGTGTATTTATAGAGTGCTCATTAATGGGCCTAAGTGCTGGTCTGTGCTAGGTTTGAGTGGGAAAGAGTGTTTTTATTTCCATTTAAAGTCTAATTACTGGTTTTATGTTCTTATCCTTTGCAGTCATTATTCTAATGTGTTTTAAAATTGCCTAGGTATTTTAGAAAGAGATTAAAAAACATACAGAATCATATAGCTTCAGATGGATAGATCCCTATCTGCAGCCTTCTGGTCACCAAGGCCCAGATCCTCAAAGGTATTTAGGCTCTTAACTTCCGTTGATTGAAATGAAAGTTAGGCTCCTAAATATCTTTGCGGCTCTGGACCTGAAAGCCATAGATAAAATTCAGTCCACTGCATAGTGCCAATAAAGGAAAGAACTTGTCACAACTGGAAGTTGCAGACCTGTTTTATATTCATATGATTTCCTATCAGATTCCACATCTGCTCCCTATACTGAACCCATCCCTTTCACTAATGTTGGAGCTTTGTAGGATGTGTACTATCTCCTAACTTCTGTCTGTCTGTCTAATAGCTCCATAATACTGCTTCCTTATTCTTTTAATTTTGGCAAATCTATAAATTAAAATTAGAGTTGTATTCCTCCATCTTTGGGCCCTGATTCAGGAAATCATCCCTGTTTTGGAAGTGTGTTTAAGCACTTGCTTAAATCCCCCTGGAGAATATGGGATTTAAGCATTTGCTTAGGAGTTAAGCACAAGCTTAAATGCTATTCTGAATTGGGGCCCTAGTGAGGCCAATATATTCTGGATTTTTCTTTCTCTTTAATAATTATTAAATATTTAATCAAATGTGATTAGTTCAAATTCACCCTGTTCTCAGTAGTATAGGCTAGACTAGTGGGACAGACCACACTTCACATGCTGACAATTGTGTCTCCTCTTTTAGCTTGGCTTGGAGAAGACGTGGCAGATGAATACTTCCTGTGTGGTGGAATGTCCTGTGAACTGTCAGCTTTCTGACTGGTCTCCATGGTCTGAGTGTTCTCAAACATGTGGCCTTACAGGTTAGTCACTGTTCTTGGAATATCTTTATGGCTGAGCATTTTTTTTTAAATCCGACACAACTAATAGTCTCCCAGGAATTTGAAGAGTCATTGATTAGAGAGAAAATGAACAGGGGGCCTAAATCTGGCTTACCTTTCTCAGGCAAATAGTAGGTTTCATTGAGGCTATATGTGGTTAAAGTGAAAAGGATTTGGCCCATACTGAAAAAAATTTCTGACTCAATAAATAGATATGAGATCTGACAAATGATACATGACTTTGCCAGAGGAGATTGACCATACTGGACATATTAGACATAGATGTCCCAGCAATGGGAGATTTAGCTTTACAACTCTCATTAATATTATTGAGATAAGAAAAGCTAAATCATAACACGTGGCTCTTGAAAGCTTAACCCACCATAATAACAGTCATCACACACTTCCTCTTTTTTATAAACAGAAAATAGGAGCTTTTGCTTTCAAATGGCTAATATTTTAACTTTATATAGAATATAAACGCATACTGAAACAAATCACATATACATACATGCACATGATGGAAATAGCATATGAATTAACAAAATACAATGTCCATTATTTGCAAAACCTGGAAAACAAAACAAAAAGGACCTGAACCCAAAGAGGTCATGCAGGGCATCAATTATTAAACTGACTAAATAGATAAATAAGTGAGAACATAACCTATTAGTATTGGGGACTAATATATACTAAACTGCAAAAGTAAGCAATAGTGAGACCAGACATGCTCATATTTTTTCCATAGTTTCTATTAAACAGAGTCATTTTTTCCATTAATGGAGTAATAGAGACTTCATTAAGCCAATCTGTATGTGTGAGGGAGGAATTGCAGATTTACATTTTCTAAAATGATCTCTTTTGGTCTCTAAAATAGTTACTGCATCCATTTCTTAATGTTAACTGGTAATACCAACTCCTCCAGCACCCCTAAAATATATAAGCTTGTAGAAAGAAAGATAGCAACACTTAAAAGTTTTTGAGAGAGCACTGACCATGGCATTCCAGAACACGTCCATTTTTGACAGATGTGTGAAAAGTTGGCATGTGGCCGTTTGCATCTCCAACATTAACTGTGTGTTACCAATCAAGCCTTAAACGAACATTCTGGAGTCCAATTGTACTTGTTTATCCTTGCAATTCTTCCAGAAAAAGATACTAAAGAACTTGAAGTATCTTTCACATTAAGCTAGATATCCTCTCAGGTTTCTGTTCTGATAGTAAGGCTAAATTCTTTTCCCTGTGGGGTTTTTTTTTTTTTTTTTTTTGAGACTGAGATTGAGAGGGTAATGCAAACATTAAGCCACCTATAAATAATTCCTACAAGGTTTTGTTTCCATGTTTCTTAACATGTTCTTCTAGAAGTGAGAGAGTTGAAACAGACCACTTGCCCCCTATCCTTGCATGAATCCTTGAGCATAGCTGCTGAAAGAAGGAACTGTGAGACAGCGGTAGCTGATATTTGTTACATACGTAATCTAAGGAGGACAGTCTATCATCTTGTATTATATCATTAATTTTTGTTAATCCTTTTTCTATCCAAATTGTCTTACGTGTAGAGTTGGCCTTGATCCAGGTTATCCCATAATGGTACAAGAGTAGAATTAGTAAGATCGGGTGCTGTAATCATCTTAACGTGTTGCAGGATGCCTCATGCAGATACAAAGACTGGATTTTTCCTTAAGGGTATGGGTAGCCTCTTAAAATATATAAAAGAAGAGAGAGGGAAGCAAAGAGCATAGCTAAACTTGCTTCAATCTCAAGCCAGGTTGGTGTGTATACAGAGCTACTGGAAAGAAACCACCTTACAACAGGCCAAATTTGGAATGCTAGATAATGTAGATACAATCTGGCAACCACGTAGTTGCCCAGGATGTTTTAAGGGTCTTATGTGACAAGTGATGCCATTTTTTATCCCATATAAATTGCATCATAGGCCCATTTATTTGAGCAAAAAGTAAGGGAGAGACCTTGAAAAGCAATAGGCTAATGATATAAATCAATCTTGGGCAGATATTCATTTTGGATATTTCTGTTCTCCCCAGTAAGGATAGAGGGAGGAGACCCTACCTCTCTACATCCCTGGAAATTTCTTTTAATATGTAGTCCATATTTATAGAAACAAATTTGGGAAAATGAGGACAAATGTTCACACCTAAATTAGTAATTTCTTTGCATATTTGAAATGCAAATCGCCAGTATTAAAAGAAAAAAAAGATTTAAATAAAACCTAGGGGATTAGGTTGAAACTATTCTTCTTCCATTCATTTCTGAATATTGCAGTATGTAGATTAGAGGTATGTTATTACTAGGGGAAAATAATTATTGTTGTCATTTATTTGTATTGAAGTAGCACTTAGATGCCCCAATCAGGAATCAGAACCCCATTGTGCTAGGCACTGTACACACATATAACAAAAAGATGATTTGTGCCCCAAAGAGCTTATAATATAAATATAAAAAGCATACAATTTACATTATTAATTTTTTTCCCAATAACATAGTTAATAATGCTACTGTGGTATTTAATTATTTGAAGGCATTTCTATTGTGCTCATCACCACAGTGTCTGAGCCCTTCACATACAAATTGTAGGATTTGCAGTAGTTCTTGGAGAGTTTTTCATTACTTAGATATAAACAAAACGAGTTAGAGATGGAGACCAGATTTTCAAAAGTGCTCAGCAGCCACAACTGGGGCCAGATTTTCAAGAGCTCAGCTCCCATGTAGACTCCTAAATGGAGTGGCCAGATTTTAAAAAGCACTGAGTACCCAGAACCTCCCATTGTTCTGAGTTGGAGCTATTGGTTGCTGAGCTCTGCTGAAAATTTGGTCACATGTATCTAGGGGAATTTCAGTTTTTTCCTATTAAACATGGGATATGTCTACACTTGGAGCTGGGGGGTGGGGATGGGGGTTAGAGTTAGGGATTCTCAGCTCCAGGAGACATACCCATGCTAGCCCTGATCAAGCTAGTGCACTAAAAATAGAGTGTAGTCATGGCAACACAAGTGGCAAGAGGGCCTCACCACCCTGAGTACATACCTGTCAGACCATTGGCACATATTCAGGGCAGCTAGCCCCCCGCCACACATCTTGCTGTAGCTACACCATATTTTTTTACTATGCTAACTTGTGTGTATATGTAGGTAGGTAACTAAACCCCCACAAATATATTTAAAATAGCAATATTATTTAAAAATACCTCTTGAAGTTTCATTGTTTTTTATGAATCTTGAAGTTCCTAAATATGTCTATTTGATGTTGCTAACAAACAGGAAGTTGATTTGGACAAGGGGGAAAAAACTCATTCTGTATTAAAATAACATCAATTTTAGGTAGGTTTCCAAATAGTAACAAATCCTGGAACGTAGCAGGCTGATTAGCTTTTCTTCCATCCATGCTAACGTAGGCTGGTATGCTTTTGGAATGGTTTTGCACATAGCGATTGCATCCTGTGCTGGGTTTTCAACTCATTACCCCGAGGTCAGAGTTCACTTTCTTTTCTCTGTGGTGCTCCAACTGCAGGAACTATGGATGCAAAACTATGAGGATCCACTTGACAAACCTTTTCCCACCTACTTACAGTGAACACAGGAGTAGAAAGGCCAAAAAGAGGGCTCCCTTTCTGCAAAACTTGTTGAGTTATTGAGATAAAGTTTTGTCCTGAAGTGGGACAAAATATCAAAACCTGAAACATTTTCACAGAAAGGGATTTAAAAGAAAAGTTACATTTTGGAAGAGCTGAAGTGCAATTATCAAATTCCCAGCTGTCTTCAGGGAAAACACTTGTTAATTGACATGTTGGCAAGAGGATTGCAGCCCAGCTACCAGAGAGGCAGAGTCCAGCTACTCCACCTCACAACAACCCCCACCCTGTCCCCTTCAGCCAGGGCCAGGAGCTAGCGATATCCTGCCTATCCCCAGGAGCTAGGGAGAGACGGGGAGGCTGAGCACCCTGATGCTGTCTCAATATCCCCTAGAGCTAGGGGAAAGCAGGGTTTGACAAAAGTTTCATCTAGGGCTGTCGATTAATCACAGTTAACTCATGTGATTAACTCAAAAAAATTAATCGCAATTTAAAAAATGAATCACGATTAATTGCAGTTTTAATCGCACTGTTAAACAATAGAATACCAATGGAAATTTATTAAATATTTTTGGATGTTTTTCTACATTTTCAAATATATTCGTTTCAGTTACAGCACAGAATACAAAGTGTACAGTGCTCACTTTATATTATTATTTTTATTACAAATATTTGCACCATAAAAATGATAAAAGAAATAGTATTTTTCAGTTCACCTCATACAAGTACTGGAGTGTAATCTCTTTATCGTGCATTGTAAGTGCAACTTACAAATGTAAAGGGGAGTTTTTGTTACATAACTGCACTCAAAAACAAAACAATGTAAAACTTTAGAGCCTATAAGTCCACTCAGGCCTACTTCTTGTTCAGCCAATTGGTAATACAAACAAGTTTGTTTACAATTATGGGAGACAATGCTGCCCACTTCTTCTCTAAATGTCACCTGAAAGTGAGAACAGGAGTTCACATGGCAATTTTGTAGCTGGCACTGCAAGGTATTTACGTGCCAGGTATACTAAACATTCATATGCCCCTTCATGCTTTGGCCACTATTCCAGAGGACATGCTTCCATGCTGATGATGCCCGTTAAAAAAATAATGTGTTAGTTAAATTTGTGACTCAATTCCCTGGGGGAGAATTGTATGTCTTCTGCTCTGTTTTACCTGCATTCTGCCATATATTTCATGTTATAACAGTCTCGGATGATAACCCAGAACTTGTTGTTCGTTTAAAGAACACTTTCACTGCAGATTTGGCAAAACACAAAGAAGGTACCAATGTGAGATTTCTAAAGATAGCTTCAGCACTCGACCCAAGGTTTAAGAATCTGAAGTGCCTTCCAAACTCTGAGAGATGAGGTGTGGAGCATATTTTCAGAAGTCTTAAAAGAGCACACTCTGATTTGGAAACTACAGAATCTAAATTACCAAAAAAAGAAAAACAACCTTCTGTTGGTAGCATCTGACTCAGATGATGAAAATGAACATGCATCAGTCTGCACAGCTTTGGATCGTTATCGAGCAGAACCCATCATCAGCATGGGTGCGTGTCCTTTGGAATGGTGGTTGAAGCATGAAGAGATATATGAATCTTTAGCACATCTTGTGACGCTGGCTATAACAGTGCCATGCAAATGCCTGTTCTCACTTTCAGGTGACATTGTAAACAAGAAGCGGGCAGCATTATCTCCTGCAAATGTAAACAAACTTGTTTGTCTGGGTGATGGCTGAACAAGAAGTAGGACTGAGTGGACTCGTAGGCTCTAAAGTTTTATATTGTTTTATTTTTGAATGCAGTTATTTCTGTACATAATTCTACACTTGTAATTTCAACTTTCATGATAAAGATATTGCACTACAGTACTTGTGTTAGGTGAATTGAGTAATACAATTTCTTTTGTTTTTTAGAGTGCAAATATTAGTAATCAAAAATAAATATAAAGTGAGCACTGTACACTTTGTATTCTGGGTTGTAATTGAAATTAATATATTTGAAAATGTAGAAAATATCCAAAAATATTTAAATAAATGGCATTCTATTATTGTTTAACAGTGTGATTAATCGCAAGTTTAATTGCGATTAATTTTTTTAAACGATTGACAGCCCTAGTTTCATTTAATTTGTACTAGATTTGACTAAGCATTTCATTCTGACAAATTGGCATTTTCCAAAGAAACCTAGTTATGCAGCTCTGTTCCCATTTTGTGGCCTGGGTGGGGAGGTTTGCTAAAGTTCATAGCATAGTCCAGTTACTCTGAAAGCAGGATTTGTCTCTCGATAGTTAAGGGTACTTAATTCCAAATTCATAGTAACAAATTTAATTAAAAATAGACAGATAGGTGAATGGGGGTGGCCCATTCAATCCTGTGAGGTTATGAAGGTAGGTCAGTGTAATGCATTGCAGCACATTATAAATCTGAATATATTGGATACTTAATTTTTAATTTTGTGCTCTTTTTGCTTGGTTGTTATTTACTTGTTTTTATAGTCCGACACATTTTGGCTCAGTGCATGTATTTATTCGCATTGAAGTTAAAACCCCACGAAAATGTGGGTTTAATGGAACTCTTTGGAAATCCCTATCTATAGAGGGGCTACTACCCAGCACTACATTGCACGTAAAAAAGCTCTTGTGGCTTCACTGTATCATCTGTCTCAGAAATAAAATCTAATAGTCTGATATTCACCTAAGAGGAAAGAAACAGAATCACCCAAAAGGATGACTAAATACAAAATCTCTTCTTCGTTCCATTATATAACTGCTTGAAATAGAATCTAGTCCTCAAACAGGCTGGGGTAGCGTGTCACCCTCAGTTGAACAGAAGATTAATGTCAGTTAAACCTATTATATTTTAATTTTCTTTAGGTCAGGGTGAAATATCCTCTGTCCCTTGAAAATTCTCCATTATAATAAAGCCCAGGGAGACAAAGAAGATAAGTGGCAAGCTCCCTCTGCTCTCTGAATTTAGACAACCAGCATCTTGTGAATCTGATACGTTTCTAAATTTAATACAAGGAAAATTTTGTGGATTAGATACCCATATCATTCCCTCCTAGCAGCACAACTCCAGAACAGTGGAGAAACAAAAGTTCATCTCTCAACAGGGATGCCAAGAACAAAATACCAGATCAGGAAAGGGCACCTGTTTTTTCCCCAGGCGTCTCAACTAGAAAAGTATTATTTATTTATATTATAGTAGCAACTTGATTCTTTCATCAAGGATCTCATTGTGCTAGGCACAGTACACACAAATAAGAAAAAAGAAAATGCATGTCTCAGAGAATTTACAATCCACACATCAAACAGGTCACAGCAGGTCTGCTGTGCAGTCCACTGTATTAGGTAAGAATATTGCTAACATAAAGCTTGTCACAGACTGAAACAGAACCATCTTGATGAGGCAATATATATGACCACCTCAAAGTTGCTTTCTCTCCCTTTCTCTCTTTTAAAGGAAAGATGATACGAAGAAGGACAGTAAATCAGCCTTTCCAGGGCGATGGAAGACCTTGTCCATCTCAGATAGAGCAATTCAAACCCTGCCCGGTAAAACCTTGTTATCGATGGCAGTATGGCCATTGGGCTGAATGCAAAGTTGAGGTAAAAGCTGCAATGGAGATCTGCAATTATTCTGTTCACTGCATCCAGGGATATTTGTGATATGCACATATATAATGTACAAAATGTTTTAGCCATTTTATTCAAATCTTTCAATTCAGGAGCATAATGAAGTGGTTGCCATTGGACACCATATATGCCAACCGGGACCACAGTTTTCCCTAGTTATTCCTATTCTAAGTATAGAGTAAAACTCTGGTATCTGAGATATAACTCTGTGGTAACTTAAATGGTTTGACAGCAGCCTATCTGAGAGAGTGCTCTGTCCAGAAAGGGTTTTCACTTATGATACTGCCACAATTTTAGTCAATATAAATGCTCAGATTTTAGCTCCCTGGTCCTAAAAAGAAGGGAACCAGCAGAGCATTGTCTGTGAAGGCACTGTGTCTCTGGCACTTGCTCCCCTGAAATAGTTTGAATGATTGTTGTTGTCTTCTTGCTGGGAGTTGGGGAGGGCACTGATGGGGGTTTTGTGGGTGAGTTTGACATGCCGGGGTACAATCCAGACCAGAAGTGGGAGCCTCTGTCACCCCTGCCTGCAACCTTGGGTGTCTTGTAATGTCTTGCTGAAGTAACTCCCACCTGGGCCGCTCACGAACAGCCTTCCAGCATGCAGGCCACACCCAGTGTGTCTAAGTGTAAGTGCAACCTGCCAGCCACACTTGGATTACACTTGGCTTTTAACCCCTTTGTTATACTGCAGGATGACCCCAACATGCTCTGTCGCAATTTTTCCCCCAGAAATGTGTGTCTTGTGCTGCCCAGCCCTCTCCTGCACAGTCCAAATATACGGCGTCCATTATTCCTTTAAGGGAATAATATACACTAGTCTGTTATCTCAAATAGAGTTACCCAGACAGTTTAAATTAAACACATTGGATTATATAAAATAATAAAACAAGTTTATTAATTAGAAAGAGAGAGATTTTAAGTGAGTACAAATTAATGAGGGATAAAAGTCAGAAATGGCTTCAAGAAGAATGAAGATAAAACGCTTTCTAGTGCCTAACTTAAACTGTATTCAATTCAAGCAAAGTTTCTCACCACATGCTTCTAGCAGCATTACTGATTAAACTGTTCAGGTCAGGATCCCTTCCTCAGAGTCTGATGGCTGTTTCCTTTGTCATCTCAGGTGCAGAGAATGAGGTGGGCAGGGAGGGGGGTGGGTCTTGGGGTGTTTGCCCCTTCTTTTTATTGTTCTTTAGTCCCTCATTGAAAACCATTTCCAGCTGAGAACCAGGAGACAGGCAGTCTGCTGAAGGAAAGATGTTCCCTGCTGGGCTTTTTCACCTGTGTGAGCTGTATATTTTTCCCATCCCCCTTTCTGCTTGATTACTCTGTTTACTGCTTAAATGCAAATGAAGACAAGCATACACTCCTTTGTTCAAGACAGGTCTGTTTGACCACTTTGGTGCTTTGTGAGTCTGAATATGTATTTTAACATCATACAGGGGAAATGTATAAATTTATACATAAAGCTGCTTCATGCATTATGCCATGATATTACTGCTCAGCAAATTATGAGTTTTCAGATGATACCACACAAGGCATACCTTGTACAAAGCATACTACAGCAGTGTATAGGGTGTGAACATGGGTGTATTTTGTCCCAATGAGATAAGGTATTTTTATCTTGTTTTGATTTACTCGCTGGTTAATTTCATTTTGTTGTGTGTGAATAAGTCATTCTGCTGGAGGTTATTCCTTGTAGGGGACTGCTGCTTTAAATAATAATAATAATTAATTAATTATGATTAATTGTTGTTGTTATTATTTCAATTGAAATAATTGGGCAAATACTGATTATTCTTTTAATGACATCCACTGTGCTTCCATACAGAAGTGACTAGATGTCTTTCCCGGTCTGAAGCATTGAATGCTACAGGACCTAAATTGGTTTTATTTTCCAAGCCATCAGCATAAAATAAAGTAACAATAATTAGAAAGTTAGATCAGCTTTGACTGAGCCATTGAAGCCTCTTTTTTTCTCTCCAACATTTGTGTATCCCCTCCCTTTCCAGGATGCTCAGTGTGGAGAGGGGACAAGAGTCAGGAACATTTCATGTGTGGTCTATGATGGATCCACTGAAGATGTTGGCAAAATAGTAGATGAGGAATTCTGTGGAGAAATTGAGCCTGTTATTGATGGCAATAAGAAGATGGTACTTGAGGAAACCTGCACCCTTCCTTGTCCAGGTAACAAACTTGTTCAGATATATGTTGTTGCATTTCAAGATTGGTCAACCTGAGATGGCCTTCAGTACAAAGAAAAAAGATGATTAGCCACAGGCTGTGAAGTCTTTACCACATTCACCTATTGAATGGAAGGAATTACTTTTCATCAGTAGTTTCACAAGAGTGACTGTACTTTGTGATACTAATAAAACGGTTACTAGGGAAAGCAATACATGCATTTACAAATGTTTTAAAAATAATGTTTGGCATAGATTACTCCAGTAGGAATTTTACTTTTGAACAATTGGCATAAAAATCATAAATGTTACTTTACCACACAAGAAACAAAGTGTTAATTTGAATATGAGAAGTATCCATTTCATGGATATTTAAATAATAGACTGTCCAAAAAATAGAGGGTTTGGTGTTTAAATGTTCGTTTTAAGCATGTGAACAGCTTTTTTAATTAAACTGAATCAGGGTCTAATACTTTTGATTGTTTTTAATGGAATTGAGGAAATAGACCAAGGAGGTTTAGTGCTGGTTTAAATAAGGTCACACTGGGGGCCAAGGAGTGTTTTCCTTAGAAAATATCATTCTTAGTCCCTCCACTAGCAACAAATGCATGACACTCACATTGACCCAACAGACTGTATCTAAAGGTGCTGTTGTGGTTTGTCAGATCTGTGACCCTCATACTAAGAAGGATTAAGAAGAGGAGACCATAACAGCTGTTAAAGATGAACTGCAAAGGTTTTGCTGAAAATTAAAAACCTGTCTGTACGTTCCAAATGGGGGGAGGGGTAGCTGTTGTTAATAAAGTAATTAGTGCTGTATTATTGGAAGTATTGATTAGCTCCTTCCGTCCCCAAGAAATTTCAGATATAGTGTTCCTGTTTTCTCTGCCAAAGCAAGTCTCATCACAACTAGCCATTCCATACCAAGCCTGTATTTTCCTTCCTTCACAACTCTTTCAAACCCATTCCTTTTAGACTGAAATTTAATGTGTCTTAGCAACAGTCCAAAGGTGCAATTTTCTAGAAATCTGTTGATCTGTTTGAGTTATAAAAGGTGTGTCTACATTTTGCACTCATCTAAAAGTGCAATTAGGTATTTCATTGACATAACACTTTCCGTCCCAAAGAATCCTGCACCACTTCACAAACTATGAGTTTGAAACCATGAGCAAAAGTCCCATTCACTTGAATGAGAGCAAGCAGACAGCTGATATAGAGCAATTGTTCTCAACCAGGGGTATGTGTAGCCCTGGGGGTACGCAGAGGTCTTTCAGGGGGTACACCAACTCTAGATATTTGCCTAGTTTTACAACAGGCTACATAAAAAGCACTAGCAAAGTCAGTGCAAACTAAAATTTCATACAGACAATGACTTGTTTATATTGATCTATATACTATATCTGCAGTTCCCAAACTGTGGGCAAGTTCATTTTAATGGGGTCACCAGGACTAGCATTAGACTCACTGGGGCTCAGGGCAAAAAGCTGGGACCCAAGCCCTACTGCATAGGGCTGAAGCCAAAGCCTGAGTTTTTAAGTGGGGTGAAACTTGTAGTACGCAAGGCAAATCAGACTCCTGAATGGGGCACAGTAGTCTGGAAAGCTTGAGAACCACTGATATAGAGCACTCCACTCAGTAATGTGAAAGGAAGAGATTTTGACCAAGGACATCACGAGTCTGACTACAAGTCTCGTTAATGTCAATACAGAGTAGACACAGCTACGGTTTCCCCAAATTTAATAAATATTTTAATTAACAAATTGTGAACTGTCAACACACAGTTCCGCTTTCTAATAGAAAATCAGAAGACTAAAAATTAAAAAAGTGGTATAAGATACTCCATTTTGTAATTGATTGATTTTGTTAGTTAAATTTAAGAAACATAGCTGTTCATTGCCCAGCCTTTACATTTTGCTGAGCAATGACCTTTGTTTGAGCAACCTCACATTTAGCCAAGGACAATAACTACCCTGTGGGGATGTGCTAATGATACACTCTGTTTTCCAAAATTCACTTCCTGCTCTCCTATTGTACATACATCAGTTCTTCAATAATTCATTTCTTTACACAATTTCTTAATGTCAGCAAATAAAATTCCTTCATTAATTAGGCATCCGGTCAACATGGTGCTTATTATATTTGTTGTCAGCATAATGTAAGGTAACATGAATTTTAATGGTCTTTTTGCTGAAATAATTAAAGCTAAAGAGGCTAATTTATGAGTCTTTTTGTGTTTTAATTTTCTAGATATCTTTTACACAGCAAAATTAGCAAAACTGTCTTTACACCATGCTTCAGACTTCCTTAAAATATTCACTAGGCTGTTGTGAGAATTAATGTTTGTTAGTGTGATTTTATTCCTGAGTCTTGAACCTTAGGATAATACAGTGTAGATTCCTACCATCATAGAACTTAGAGAAGATATTTTAAATCACCTGTGCCAATCTCATTTCTGACAAGAAATGTTCCCGCAGTAAGAGGTTTTTCCAGTCTACTTCCCTAATACATTTAAATAATAATGACCTGTTTACTACAAGTGAGCAGAATGAGCAAGAATTAACCTTTACTTTCCAACTGGCTATATATACATTGGCTTCTTTTAAGCTTATAGAAAGTGAAGTTTATCATGAAGATAATGTGGAAAATTAGATTGGAGCACAACATAGAGTGCCTTTCCACTTGTGAAAAGCCAAACATTGAATGCAGTTTTTGTCAGAGACTGAAAATGAGAGCAACTTAGTAAAGCTATGGAAATGCTACAGTTGCTTGGAATGCTTCGGCATAAATAGGGTTTTGTAACGCTTCAATTTCCTTGAAGAATAATTTCTTTTGTACAGAAATTAAAATAAGCAGGTGTTCTGTCACCTATATTTTCATAGGATGAAGGTAAGTATGGGTCTAAAAGGAGAAATGTTCTTTACTAATTAATGAGGCAGAGTTAAAAGGTATTATTTGGATCAGAACTTTCTATGGCCTTTACAGGTAGTATTCAGAACTCCCCTTGTATCAACTCTTCAGCTTTGTTACATCATTGTTGTTGAACAGGTGATTGTTACTTGAAAGAGTGGTCAGAATGGAGCCTTTGTCAGCTGACCTGTGTTAATGGAGAAGATCTTGGTTTTGGAGGGATACAAGTCCGATCCCGGGCAGTGATCATTCAGGAATTAGAGAACCAACACCTCTGTCCAGAACAGGCTTTGGAAACAAGATCATGTAACGGTGAGTATCAAAACACAGAAAATAGGTGACCACTATTTTAATGTAAGATGAATAAGACTTTTTCTTGGCCAAATTTTGGTTGTGAGGTTGAAAAATGTTGCAAATATTAATAATTGCATAGACAGCTGCTTTGTAATATCATCCAAAAACTTCACAAATCTATGCCAATCTCCCATTATATTTTAATTCTAGAGTCAATTCTTAAATTTCATGGTAATTTTTTTTCAAAATGTCTTTAATTTTTTTTCATCAATAATTGACTTTCATTTATAGCAAAACTTATTAACCAGTAGTATTTCTGCCTCAATGTTTAACAGAAGTGACAAAACCAAAATTCACTATATTCTCTCATTCTCTTTGTACTATTATTTATTTTATTAATTATCTGTCAATAACACCAGTGGGTCCTAACTGTGCTTGGTGCTGTTCCCATTCATAGCAAGAGTCATTCCCTGCCCAAAGAGCTGTCAATCTAAATAGACAAAACAGACAAAGGAGAGAGAAAGGAAGTATTACAGATGAGTAATGGAGACAGAAAGAGGAATTGAAAGATTAAGTGACATGTCCAGGGTCACACAGGAAATCTGTGGCAGAGGTGGGGTTTCCGCCCAAATCTGCTGAGTAGAGCTGGGTGATTTTTTTTTAATTAAGCTTTCTGACAAAAAATGGAGATTCAGGTCAGCTGAAGCATTTCATGAATTCTTCTGAATTGGCCAAACATTTCAACACTTTTGAAATGAAATGTTTGATTTTTCAAGCCAAAACAATTTTTCATACCAAAATTTCCTCCAATTTTATAAAAATTAAAAAAGCTTGAAAGCAAAAGGATTTGTTTTGTGTTGAACTAAATGTTTTGTTTAATTTTTTTTTTTTTTTTTTTTTTACTTTTCGAAACTCACAAAGTACCGAAAGATCAGATTTTGTTAGAGTACTGGTCCCTATGCTTACATGCTGTGGGTATGCATGCTCTCCATGAGACCAGAAGATTCTTCAAAAGCAGTGTCTGTTGGTCCATGCCAGCACCCTACTCTAAACTGGTCTACGCTGAGGGTATAAGGAGCAGCATGGACCAATCACCTGACCAGTTTACTGTTTGCTGTCTGGGACAGAACCCATTTTGTCCATAGCCTTTCCAGTGGTCCCACTCAGACTTCGACTTTGTAAATAGTTTTTTGTAGATAGTTTGCTTTAGTTGGTCTAGACAGATAGTTTGGAGTTTGGGGGGATTTCCTGCCTTGTTCCTCCACTTTCAGGGAGGAACCTAGCATGCCCAAGATACCAGGCTTCAAATCCTGTTTGTGCTGTCCCCTGGTCTTCCCAGTTAGTGACACTCATGAGAGCTGCCTGTATTACCTTGGGGAATCATACATTCCTCTGAAGTGTGATATCTGCTGCTCCTTACCCCCTTCTACTAGGCAGTCTCAGGAGTTCAGATTCCACAGACATTTAATTGAGCTTTCCCTGAGGCCCCAATCTGATCCTGGACCACTCTGCTCCTCATCTCACCGGCCTGAGCCTCCAGGTGGCATCTCTCCAAAGCTGGCACTCTCTAGCTAGGACTCTTCCAGCAAGGCCAACAATTTGATTAAATGGGGGCATGATAAGGGTAACGATAAACACAGTCAGAAAAAGAAGAACAAATTGCCCCATAAGTTTTCTAAGAAAAGGACTCTCCCCCCTGCCTCTGTACCCTATCTCCACAGAGCCGGGGAGGGGAGACAACAGAGCAGAAGAGCTTTCAGTGAGTGTCTTAAAGAGACAGCGCACGGCTTTCCCTAGTAGCCAACACACACATACACTGTCTCTCTCTCCCTCTTTCACACTCACCTCCCAACACATACATGTACTATTGTTGTTGTTTTTTCTTGGTACTTCCTGCAATGCCCATATATTCTCTGTAATTTTATTCTTTCAAAGTGTTGTTATTTTAGTGTTTTGACTGGTCTATACATTTAATAATCTTTATTTCTCTTACACTTAAATTTAATTCTTTGAGTAGTGAGTTCTAAAATGCCTAACCCGTCCTGTATGGAGTAATTATCCCTATGATAACTTTTAAAAAATATATCTTATATCTAGGTTTTTTGTTTCGACTGATGGCGCACATCCGCACATACCTCGGTGCACATAACAAAATTTATTCCGCACATGGATGGAAAAAATTAGAGGGAACATTGGTCTTGATCTGCCCTTCTTCAGGACTTGGCAATTTGCACCAATCCTTTTGGATCCAATCCTAGCAACGGACACCTGTATACCATCCTCTTTGAGGGCAATAACCTGTTTAGTGAGAAAACAGATCACTGCTTCAAGGACTCTGCTGCGAAATTCTGCTCATCAGGATATACACCTTGGCACCCTGTAGGAAATAGTGTAGGGCATTTCCTCATAGGTACTATCTGACCCCTTAGCTTTTTATCATTAGAAAGCCTATGAGGGCTTGTCTACACTACCAAGTTTTGTTGACAAAACTTATGTTTACATCCAGAAGTTGACAAAACAATAATCGCCAAAGGGTGTTCACGCTTGCTCCCTCTGTTGACAGATCATGTCCGCATTGGGGACACCGTCATCGACAGGGTGAGCAATGCACCGTGGGTATGTATCCCACAGTGCAGTGTTGTGGGAAGGAAGAGCTGATCGCTGTGCATCTTGGGATTCTCTCCGAGTTCTCCCACAGCCCCCTCAGCTGCCGAGAGCAGCATCATGAATAGCTCTGTGAGCTCTCCATGCTGAGGAATCGCAAAGCATCACAGCAGTCTGTCCTCTCCTCCTCCCCCCACCCCCCCACCCCGCAGCAGCAGTCTGCCTGCTGCTGCGTTCCTTGTGCAGGGCAGAACAGGAGCATTCCAATGATTTTCTCTTTGTTCCCCAAACGGAGCAGCACACAGATATTTCCCGGAGCTGGGCAGGCATTGCAGGGCAGCAGAGCTCAAAACACTGAGCAGAGTGATCAGGGCAGGCATTGTGGGATACTGACGGAAGCCAGTTCTGTCGACAAAACAATCAGCAGTGTCTACACTGGCTCTTTGTTGACAATAAAGGGAGGAGAAAAGACAAAAGTCTCTCGTAGGGGTGGAAGTGTTTGGTCGCTAAAACTGGGCATTTTTCGCGACAAAAGTCCCATTGTAGTGTGTACGCTCTTGCTGTTTTGTTGCCAAAAGGCAGTTTTTGGCGACAAAACTTGCCAGTGTAGATGAGCCCCAAGACTCCTAAGAGGCACCAGTGGGTGCAGCATAGAAGACAAACAGCACCCCCACCATACCCTCTTCAGTCCTATCCACCCACCAATAAGACATTTGGATGGGACACTTGAGCACCATCACTCTCTGTACCAACCCCACTTCAGTGTCCACCTGGCCTGTTTCCTCCCAATGTTGGCAGTATATCACACCAGACAAATGGGTCTCAGACATCATCTTGAACCAGCTATCCAATAAAATTCCTTGTTGCTCCTTCTCCAAACCTCCCTTCCCATCTGTTCTCAGGGGATTCTCAGACAGAAGGTGGACTCCCTAATCCAGGTAGGAGCAATGAAGCCTGTACCCCGCCCCCAACACAAGGGGAAGGGCTTTTACTCCAAATATTTCTTCATCCCCCAAAAGGAGGAGGACTGGAAACCCATCCTCAGACAGCTAAATGTCTTCATTCACCATTCAAGATACAGGATAATTATATTGGCCCTAATAATCCCTTCCCTAAATGAAGTTGCCTGGTGCACCTCTCATTGTGAAGGATGCCTATTTTCATATAGACCTTCACCCAGTGCACAGGATACTCCTGTGGGTTACGATGGGCCTAAAGCACTTCCAATACAGAGTGCTTCCCTTTGATCTCTTGACAGCCCTGAGGGTTTTTACAAAGGTACTGTCCATGCATACCTGTGTCAATGAGGCAGCCCAATATTTCCTACCTGGACAATTGGCTCCTCATGGGGCAGTTGTATCAGGAAGTGCAGGCAGCAGTTACCTCTTTACTCAGCCTCTTTCACTGCTTGGGACTTCAGGTAAATCCAAAAAAGTCCAGTTTAAACCCACACAAGTTTTAGAATTTATTGGCACAAATCTGAACATGATTACACCCAAAGTTAGCTTACCTCAGGACAGATTCTTTCCAATGTGGGACTTCATCACCCAACTTTGACTAAGCCCCCAGCTAGCTGACGGGTTCTGCCTGGTCCCGCTAAGCCATATGGCCTCATGCACCTACGTGACCCCCTTCACAAGGTTTTGCATGTGGTGCTTCCAGGCACGGTTAATGGATGATCTATGCTCTGAGCAGGAACTTCCTGGACAAACAAGTCGCGCTTCCTCAGAGTGTCCTGATGTCACTCACCTGGTGGGAAACCAAGGACAATGTCTATGTAGGGTTGCCTTTATTCCTGCATTGCCCACAGAAATACTCATTATGGATGCCTCCCTAATGGGATGGAGAGCACATGTGGAGAACCATACAGCTCAGGGTTTCTAGACTCCACAAGAGTCTACGCTACATATCAGTCTTCTTGAAGTTTGGGAAATGCACAAAGCATGCAAGATATTGTTTTCCTTCATCCAGTCCATGCACTTCTGGATCAGGTCGGACATTGTGACTAGTTTACTACTTAAATAAGGGGAAGCAAAATTTGCCCCACTCTGCAGGGATACAATCAACCTGGAATTGGTGCATCCAGCATCAGATTACCCTATTGGTAGTACTGCATTCAGCTGCAGAGTCAGTGGAGCCCCAGACACAGCCTCCAAGCTGAGCAGCTCTGCGTTTCCAGAAATGAGGGTGGGGGAGTAGCACATCCGGGTCTCCTGTCTCAGAATAGAGACAGGACCATTCATCCCAACTTGGTGTCCCACCATCTCGTAGCCTGGTTTCTGGATGGACAATGAATTTAGAGAGATTGTGTTCACAAGGTCTAGTTCATCCTTAATAGTATCAGAAAACTCTACATGGATTGCCAAATGGAAGCAATTCTCCATTTTGTGTCAGCAGCATCACTTACCTCCACGAGGAGTCTGGGGTCCCTCTTATCCTGTGCTGTCTTCTCTCTTTAAGAAATTGGGCCTGTCCATCAGTTCACTGCATGTACATTTTTCAGCTATTAATGTCTTTCATCCTCCACCGCTATTAAAACTTGCTCCTATCTGGGACCTGAACTTGGTGATATCAGCTCTTGTGAACCTGCCATTCGATCCCTTGGCCTCTTGCTCCCTCCTACACTTGTCTATGAAAGTTGCCTTCCTAACTGTAATCATCTCTACTAGGAGAGTGGGTGAGCTTGGGTCCTTTATGGCAAATCTTCCTTACATGGTATTTCATAGGCATAAAGTATTCTTGAGGTTGCATCTCAATTTCATCACAAAGGTTCCTTCTTAACTTCACCTGAACCAAATAGATCACCTGCCTAATCTTCTACCCAAAGCCTATAATAACAGGAAGGACAAGCAGCAACACTCCCTGGATGTATACAGGGTTCTAGCCTTCTACTTGCACCGGACTAGGCCCTTTTGGGAGCCTCTGAGGTTCTTCATCTCCATATCTGAGAAAATGAGGAGGAAAGCAACCTCTTCCCAAACCTCTCTAAATGGATTTCCAGTTGTGTCCTCCTTTACTATGAACTTATTGATGCCCCTCCACCTCAGATTTTCAGGATTCATTCAACCATAGCCCAAGCTGCCTTGTTGGCATTTCTACGAGATCTGCAGGGCAGTGACTTGGGGCTCCATTCACACTTTCACTAAGCATTATACCCTGGTTCAGGCTTCTGCAGAGGGTGTTTCTTTTGATTCAGTGATCCAGTGATCTGTGGTGCAGAACATTTCCTTGCACCCTCCTCCTCAATGAGCACTGCTTGAGAGTCACCCACAGTGAATATCCATAGGGACCAAAGAGCGGTTACTTACCCTATAGTAACTGGAGTTCTTCAAGACGTGTGGTCCCTATGGGTATTCCACGACCCACCCTCCTTCCCTTCTGCTCACATCCTCACGTTGTTTGTGGTAGAGTAGAGTAGGGACTAAAGGGATGGCCAGTCCACAATGCCCCTTATGCCCTCAGTTCAGAGCACCAGGAGGTATAAGGGTGCAGGCATAGACCAACAGACACTACTATTGAAGAGCAGTAGCCGTGTTAGTCTGTATTGACAAAAAGAACGAAGAGTACTTGTGGCACCTTAGAGACTAACAAATTTATTTGGGCATAAGCTCACGAAAGCTTATGCCCAAATAAATGTGTTAGTCTCTAAGGTGCCACAAGTACTCTTCGTTCTTTTTGCTATTGAAGAATGTTTTGGTCTCAGCTGCATTGAGCGCATGTGCACCCCCAGTGAATACCCATAGGCATCACACATCTTGAAGAACTTAGTTACCGTAAGGTAAGTAAACCTTCCTTTATTGGCCCAGCTCTACTCCAATGCCTAAACCATAAAACCATCTTTTTCAGGAGTAACCTATCAACCTCATTAGAGTAAGAGTGCAACTTCTTATCGCTCCATAGACATGTACAAATGAGAGCACTAGAGTTAATCACATTCTTAAGAGCTTAGCTGGATCAGGGCCAGAGTGCTGAGCACATTGAAGGATAGAACCTGAAATGACTGATGGAGTCCTAATAGTTATTTGATTTCTATCACTACTACTGGTGGGTGCTGCAAGTTTAGAAACAATATAAATGTCACCCTTAGTGGGCAAGCAAAATCATACATGTTTTATTTGAACTGTCTCCAAAACTGCATAAAAATAAGATTTGCATATAACAAAACAGTTTTTTTTCCCCTGGATTGTAGTTTTATTTACATGTCTAATCTGCTGGTAGACATGTCTGTCAACACTAAGTAACACTGCATTTTCCCGGGGATTTGTACAGTATTTCTGTTAGTGTCATATTTTACATTCAGATGGTCAGTGTCACGAATACAAGTGGATGGCTAGCCCATGGAAGGGGTCTTCTCGGACAGTATGGTGCCAAAGATCGGATGGATTAAATGTTACAGGTAACTATTATTTTTATTTTTCTTACATAGAACTCAATCAGGCCATGAAAGAATAAAAAGGAGTGGAGACATTGCTGCTCTTGTAAAAGGATTTGCAAATAATTATCAGATATTATATTTTCCAGTAACAATAAAGAGTAACTAAAAATTCAGTATTATTACTATTTTATGATCTTTATTTGGCAAAGTTTTATTTCAAATCATCATATTATTCCATGGCTGGAAGTACTTGAAAACCCTTTTTCCAAAACTCGACTGATGACACTATGCAAAACCTATTGCTAGAGGGTAACTATAAAATAATATCTTCCTCATTGCAGACTGACTATTTTACATTCTACTTGTCTAAAATGTTTATCCTCCACCAGCTTTAGGATTTCAAATCTCAATGGTTTCCATATTACACAAAGATCTTTTAATACAAATATGTATAGCATGTATGCATGCAATATATATGTGTGTGTTTAATATATATACATATGCATGCATGCACAGAGGGAGAAAGACAGCTTCATGGTCTATAAGATGTTCACATAATAAGAATCTGACATAAGGCCCGTGAGTTAAATTAATGAGTTTAATTCATTTTTTTGCACCAAGGTGCTAAAGTAGTATGAGAAACATTACTGTGTATTTTGCTATTTGTGGTGTAATAGCCAGGTACAAAAGGGTAAATTAAGGAACGTTCTGAGGTCTCTGACTTGAAGAAAAATGTAGTCTGTTTTCTTTGTGGGTACATCAGATTCAGAGCTTTACTTAGTCTTAATTTTTTAAACTATTTATATGATTTCATAAGTACATAATCAGTGTCAATCAACTGAACGCATATAAATGGAACTTTAATCCATGGATTGTTGACATGACAGATCTGAATGATTCTGAAGTAACTGTTACTGTCTGTCATGTCATTGGAACACTAATCCATGTATTGTCACCACAAGATGCTTAATAATCCTTTGGAGTCATCAAGTCTCTTGTGTAAGTGTCAATTGGCATTTGTAAAAATGTTAAAATGCATCCTCTTCACACTGGGTATTGCAGGCCCAGTCTGTATGCATATTACAAATCCATACAAAATTGTGTTAGCAGCTACTAGGGTCAAGCAATTTTTAATCTCAGTAATTTGGTCATGTACATTTTTTCCTTAATTTATGCCATGCACTAGTATCCTTGGATACTTATAAAGTGCTTTGTAAAATTGAATCCATTTTGGAGCTGTAAGGTTGTAAACAAAGTCTTGGGGGGGAGGGGTACATCTTATTCTTTTGATTTGGTTTATTCTGGTGCTAATGATGATTATCTGCCTGGTTTCCTGCCAGCTGACCTGATCTGCTTAGCTCCCAGGCTTGTGGGTTAAAACCTGTGGGTAGTCTGCGTGCTGGCCTGCCTTGGAGTCAGGAGCCCCGGGGCTTCCAGAGTTCATGGCTCCAGGGCGGACTGCCCCAGGGCCAGGGCTGTGTTCCCTTTCACAGAAACTTTCTAAACGCTTTGGGTTTTATCATAGAAATGTAGGGCTGGAAGGGACCTTGAGAGGTCATCTAGGCCATCCCCCTGCGTTGAGGCAGGACCTAGACCATCCCTGACAGCTGTTTGTCTAACCGGTTCTTAAGAACCTCCATTGCCAGGGATTTTATAACCACTCTTACTAACCTAGTCCTATACTTAATTATCCTTATAGTTAGAAAGATTTGTTCCAAATTTGGAAATACAGAAGTCCTCCAAAACTGGGTCACTTTTCTCCACCCAGCTCTAGATAAAATCTTATATGGGCTTCTGGCCCTGATGGAGTAAAGCACTTGTCTGGTTGACCAATGGTAATTCAGGAATGCTTAAGTACTTTCCCCAGAGGGCCTCTTATGCATTGAACACAGAAGACTAAGGATCAGATAGGAAACTTTTAGGTCCACCAAATATATGTTCAAAGTGTTGGGTATGCTTTACAGTACCATCCATCGATCTCATTAAGAGATCAAATGTGCCCTCAGATACAGACATTGCCCCTCGGCCTTGATTTCAGTAGGGTTGCATATGTTCTTGTAAGGACAGAATGTGGCTCAGTGTCAACCTGTTGCTAGAGTACTGTATTTCTTTGCAGCTGCCATATTGCTTGGTTGGATCTGAAATAGTTTATTTTTATTCCTATATATTCAAATGTTGCATGGTAAATTATATTTCCATTTGTATGTATTTACTCAGATTTTATTTAGTCTGTCACAATATAGTTCTGAGTAGTTTGTTTGTTTGTTTTTTATTCGTTTAGGATGGTGTTTTCACAGATTCATTAACTCAAATTGAAATGGGTGATGAGGCAGCTCTTTTCTTCTGCAGCTCTCAGGATGACTGATACTTTGTTACATGGGTGCTTGCAGGCATGTGCCTGGTACACACACCAGAGTGTAAAATTTTATTCCCTATGGGTGGGGAACATTTCTTATGGCAGGGTTTCCTTTATTCATCATCAGCCCTCCTGTTAACACCTGGCTTTATATAACTGCATCTAACTGCATCTTCTGTGGGAGTGACCATAGTCACTTATCAGGATTTCATCAGCATTTCACACCAATATAAGGGTGTAATTACTTTGGGAGATTTGGGACATAGTGCAGGTAGGTTGCATTGGGTGGCCTCTAAATGTAAAAATGTTAAACTGCTTGGTACACCGCCCTCTTTTCCAGGACAGAAGGAAGCTGTCTAATAGCCATTTATTCTGAATAAAGTCAAAGGGTTGTGGCTGAAATGATACTGAAAGCCTGATCGTGTGTATTGGTCCATAACAATAACTCTGCACTGTACATAAGCCTGTAGCAATAAGAGTGAAGATTTCCATTAAGAGCAAAGGATTGGAAAAACTGAGCTCTTGATGTCAAAGGTTCGATATTTATGTTGCTCTCAGTCCTTACTCCTTTAGGACATTTTCCCCCTCAGGAAACCTGTCCCATAACAGCTGCTTTATAACGGGCAAGGGAGCACCAAATACATAGTGACTCCGTCTTCCTCCTGACCCTCCACCCAGTGTTTAGAAAATTAGAGAGTGGTGGAAACCAAATAGCCAATGACAAATTGGGAGATCAGTTTGACCTTTTAGACAAATTAATGGAGAAAGACAAAATATGCAGAGGGAAAAAAAGAACTTTAATGTTTCCCCATATAAAGCACCCTGTACAAAAATTACATAATGTTTCTCATGGGTGTCCTGTAAGTACTAGTTAGAGCCATGAATACAAGAACATGATTACACCCTGAAAAACAAAATGTCTCTTCCCCCTGGACTCCCCAAACACACACACAAGCATTAACTGTGGCTTGAGCAATCCATAAAAGGTACATAAAAGTATTTGGCATGTCAAGCACCTTCTTCTAAAGTGCAGATCAATACAAATAAATCTGCCTACAAGAATTCATGCAGGACTAAGAAAGCCATCCTCCTCCTCCTGCTTTGGTACAATAGTATCATCCTAAATTCACACAAGCAAGCAAGTTCCTTGTGATTAAAAAAAAAAAAAAAAAAGGTCACTTGTGACATGCTGTATCAAGTACCATTTCATGGCTGAAGTCAGTAATTTCATCGGGGGTGAGGTGCTATTGTGTCAAAATCTGATTTTGTGTCCTACAGGGGGCTGTTTAGTGATGCGCCAACCAGATGCTGACAGGTCATGTAACCCACCGTGCAGTCAACCCCATTCTTACTGTAGCGAGGTACGTGTCACTGCATTGGAACAATGTTGTTTCAGTACTCTTACTGTACACTACAACACAAAAATAGTGAAGGCTAAAAGCCTTTATATATGAAAAATAGTACATAGCTCCTCATTAGTTTTCAAAATATTTTGCACAATAGAATCATGATTACTGAAGCATTTTCAGAGCTCTCACTAGTGTTTAATTTTTTTAATCAATCTCAAATCATTAACCCTTCCCATTAAATATGTAAACTGCACTGCTTTGATTCAATAGGAGATGCCACACAAATACATCCAGAGGTGCCCTCCAGGCTAGTGCTCATCAAAACAATCTTCTCTTCCAGTCATCAATGTTGTCATGATTTATAGCACTCGGAGAGCTGTGTTTTTCTGCTACAGTGTAAAACACTTGTTCCCTACAGACTAGAACATGTGGTTGTGAAGAAGGGTACACTGAAGTAATGTCCTCTGATGACACACTCGAGGAGTGCACACTCATCCCTGTGGTAGTGATCCCCACTATGGAGGACAAAAAAGGAGATGTGAAAACCAGTCGAGCTGTGAACCCCACCCAGCCATCCAGTAACCAGTCAGGACGAGGAAGGACCTGGTTTCTGCAGCCTTTCGGGCCAGGTGAAGTCATTACATGAGCAGTTAATGATGCTAAGCACTGCCACAGCATTTGGCATTTAAGCTGCTCTGATGCCAAAAGTCATTAAATGTTTATTTAAGGAGGCAGTCATCTGCAAGGATTGAACAAAAAGGAAGAGACATAAGTAACCCCACCCTTTGCTGCTGCTGCATCAGTATATTTAATTAAACTGTATATTACAGAAGGGATAGAATTTTCTTCCCTGATACTACTTGTTTGAAATTTTCCAGTGAGAAGAACTGGAAATACTGTAGAGGGAAAATACTGTGAAAGGCCTGGGAAATAGTCACAGTTCGTAGCACTTACTGGATATCAGATTAGGCAGTTGGGGTCAAAAATATGACCGATATAACTGTCAGGAGGTCGAAACACTGTCTAAAGACTACAAGGACCTGGATGCCTTTTTTCCCCACTGATACCACTGGTGTGGTTGTGGTTTGTAGAAGATGTAAACATTTTATCAGGTCAGGTTTTCATCTGAAAGTTTTATTACACTTATAATGTTCTCAAACATCTCAGCTAGAAGTATCTGCATCACCACTTAAATGCTACAGTGATGAGAACTATAGAAACATGTTGGATGAACAGATTGTCTTTCTCTGATGCAACTACATTTCTAGCCTGATCTTTTTAGAACTACACAATAGTTGCTGTTTGTATGGTGGTAGTACCAAGTAGCCCCAGTCAGGGACCAGGACCCCATTGTGCTAGCCACTGTACAACAGAACAAAAATATAGTCCCTGCCCCAAAGTATTTTTAAGTACTGCTCCACCATGAAAAGAACTGTAATCAGAACACCATGCTTCCCTAAACAAGTGCCTCATCTTTCTTACAGGCTACCTCATTCACTGTCATTCTAAAGTTAGTTTGATGAAATTCTTTGATGTGGCTATCCATTCCAACTGACCTGACCTAAAATCTCAACTAATAGCTATTATTACCCCAAAGCGAGAGAAAATTCCATTCAAATAAACATCTAGACACTTGGATGTTCATCCCTACAAAATTTCCAGTACTTCCTGATTTCAGCTAAAATGGAAATACCAGTTACCGCAAGTGAAACATGAATAGCACGGAAACAGTCTCTGTTGTTTCAGTAATTCCACTTTTGGTGAAAACCAGGAAGGTGGGAGCAAACGTAAAAAGCAAGCAAATGTTTTGAATTCTGAATAAGGTTCAGGTTTACTTGATTCAGTTCCAATTTTGATTGAACATTTAGATCATTCTTCTTTTATCTAAACCAATACTCCCATCTCTAAAAATTATTCCACCTAGTTCTGAAAGAATCATCATAGACAGTTTTTTGAAAATTTCCAGATAACATTATACAACTTGAACTTTGGCTTTAGCTGTAGATTAACAAAATATCAGAAATTGTAAATGATTTCCCTCCTCCTCCTCCCCCCCCCCCCCCCCCCGCTGCTGCCTCCCACCCTCTCCCACCTTGCTGAATATAAGTAATCCTGTAAGGAAGATATTGAACACTTTAATCATAATGAAATCTGAATTGCTATCACTTCCAATATTGGATAAGTCAGGGCAAATCTACTGCCTCAGTCCATCTTTAATGGATCAGTTGTTTCATTGCTTCAGGTTATTAAGTTTTATTAGCTCCATTACATTAATCCAGCAAAAATGCTTTTCTATTAATTAGTCTAAATCAAGTAGTCTGCATGACTGCCAGCCCCTGGGTTGTTAGATAGTATAAAACCTGTGTACCTACCTATGCAGCAGCAGGGAAGGCTACTGGGAAGTTTAGGAAGCAAACTCAGTGTGACTACATTTATCATTATTAAACTGTAAAAAGCTCCTTTGTAACCTTCACTGAAATAGCTTTTTGGTTCTATGAAGTTATCGAAGTACTATAAAGGGTTGGCTTGAAGCTCACAATTTCACCAATACTTGCTTGGTATGATATTGAAAACAACGCCACATGAATAGAGCGTGGTTAGTTCTACCCTCCATGGGCATATTTTGCCCTCACACACATTACACCCTATACCATCCTACTGACAGTACTGTGGATGTATATGGTATAGTCAAGGCACAATTTGACCCTTGTGTGTAAAATAATTCATACAAATGTGATTGGGAGGTATCACATGTGCATTGACAAGAAAATTCATGTGGGTATATATGTTCTAGTCAGCCTACTGCATAAGAATTTGTTTTCAAATATTAGATTGCTTTAGGGGCAGGTGGGATGTATTTTTTCTGAGCTAGTTCAATGTCAAACCAGTTCAAACCTAAACCTATTTTTTAAAAGGACATGTGAATAAATACTTCGTTCTCTCTGACCTTTTCTGAAATCCATCTTGGGGCTCAGCAGGTCACAGAATCTTTGCTGGGTCAGCTTCCATCTTCACATTTCAGGAGTTGCAAAGTTTCCCCAAAGTCAAATAGGGACAGTGCATTGTGAACACTTCCGATCTAAGCAGGGAACCCCAGATTATGAAATGTTTATTCCAAGCATTCAGCCAAAACCCACTAGAGAGTTGGAGCAGCTTTCTCCCTCTTTCTCCACAGAAGAGAGGGTGTTCAGCTGGGGCTGTTAGAGCCTGTTTGACGTCAGGGGAAAAGAGGAGGATGTGATATGTCTTGTAATTATAGGCATGTAAAACCGAGCTGTGAAGATATAAGATCCTTGATAACAGCAGACTGTACTTCTGCTTTTCTTTAGACTACAGGCTAACAATAAGTTTGGAGGGAGGGGGGAGGAAGGAAGATGTTCCAACAATGCAATTAAAAAGGAAGGACTCAGAAGATCATTGTCTAGGTGTGCAGCAAGGAAAACTGTTGTACTCAAGACAAAGTACAGACTATATCGGATACTAGATTGGTCACTAATGCTATCTAAAAAGAGAAAAATTAATGTGAAAATGAGAACATGTAGATTATTTTGCCAAAATAAAAGTTGCACTTAAAAAGTGTTTCCCATTTCTCCTGACTGAGGAGTACAACACTTAAAATTGCACTCACTCTGCAGGATTACCCCTTATGAACTAACACAGGGTGGTAGTTTGTCTGTGATTGTAGTTGAGCAGGTTCACATCACCCAGTTTCTTTCGCGTCCACCTGCTCTGTCCTGATAAGCAGGCGGCCTATTGAAAAGTACAGCATGAGTGCACGCTCAATGCGAGATGCAAACAAGATTCTGGGCCTTTTGGGTGACTATCCTGCTCACGACTGGCGGTGCTCACTTGTAAATCAAACCAAAACTGCTCTAATGTTCAGCCTTGTCATCTTGAGAGTGTTTTTAACCAAACCTGTAACTGAGTAATCTAATAACACTTATACATATTATGCTTTAATGCTGCCTGTGCAGACAATTATTATTGCTATTCAAGCCTGCAATGCAACAAGACTAACCTGTAAACTAACGACTAACATTCATTCCGTTTAGATGGGAGGCTGAAGACCTGGGTTTATGGCGTAGCTGCTGGTGCATTTGTTTTACTCATCTTTATTGTTTCTATGATCTATCTAGCCTGGTGAGTTCTTTATTTATTCCTAAATGAACAAGTGTCACATGGACTGTGGATTGAGCATTTCACTGAATCTGATTCAGATATGGGAACTACATCAAGTCTTCAGAGTTTGGTGTGCATATGCTTTTGCCCAAATTGAGGTTACTGACAGTTGCTACTTATGTGTATTTTTTCAGTGGATTAACAACTTTCTTGAGGCCTGGAAAATACTGTTTTACAAATGAGCCACGTTAAAGATGTCTTTAGTAGTTGTGTGCACTTAAAGGCAGTTGCATTGGAGACATTCAGCACTTAAAGGCAGTTGCATTGGAGACATTCAGTTTGTCTCCATTAAGAATTACTGTATTAACACCCAGAATAATACCCCAGCAGCTGTGTTTTTGGAGGTGTAACAATCCTCCCCCCTCAAAAAAAGTTGCCAGGTGAGGCCAATCTAATGTTTGTTCCCTATGAATGGTCCAATAGGTATATCGGGGTGCCCACATTTTGTGACCAAATGTTGACATAGCAACTTACCAGGAGCCTGAGGTATAATGTGCCTGTACATTTATTCTACATGCTATGGGCCAGATCTTAGCCTCTGTGGTTGCTTTGTGCCAAGACTAGTACAAAGCACCCACTGCAAAGCTGGTAGATCTAGCTGCCTGTGGATTCCTGCCTAATATGGGGGAATCACCGGGTTTGGTTCGGACCAATATAGCAGCTTCTGTGCGATCCCACTGGTGGTGAAGGTGACATGGCCAGGAAAAAGAGTGTTTGGCTGGAACACAAACAATTCCTAACCACTGGAATGGCTCCTTTTGGGGACATAGGTAGGTGAAGCAACTTTGCATAGCCCTCAAGCAACTCTAAATTGAACTTCAGAGCTGGGATGGGGTGGTATAAGAGTGGTTTAAATATATTTTCATGCCCTGCCCCAAGTGAAGCTAACAATTAGGGCTTATGTGTATTAATCTAAGATTACCAGTGCAGGAGAATCAAGTATGTTTTGTTTGTGCATTTTAGATATTTACACCTGTGTCGAGTGGATTTAAAACACTACTAAATTAAAATCTAAATTAAAGATAACTAGAGAGTGGGAATCCATGCAGTATAGGCATTCCCTGTCTGATGATACCATTTAGAATTAATCTATTCACTGCTGCAAGTATATGTATTTTGGAGGATGTACCAAGATGCACTAGACAACAAGTTCTTGTTGGAGATAGTGTGCTACAGCAACAGGTATTTAATTCAATAATGTGATGTAAATGATTAATTTCAGGCACCATATTCAGATCATCAAGTTAATGATGAAAGAATACCACCAGTGATGGGCCAGAACCTCTAATCTGAACCCCTTAAAATTTCAGGGAAGGTTAAGATATTTAGGTTCCAGATCACATCTACAACTGAAAGGAGCCTGGTTGTGGTTTTGATGCAGCCAACATTTTGCACAGAAAGCAAAACACCATTCAAAATGTTGGGCATTTGTCACCATAGTGCGATCCTGCAAAATTTCCCACCACATTCATGATTTGATACAGCCATATATCAGAACCAAAATCTAATCTAGATTCAAACATTCAGTCTCTCTCTGAAAATTTGGTATTTAAAGAGACTGTGGCTTTTGGATGTTTAAGGGGTTATTTCAGATGAAACTGAGGATGTATACACTTAAATTTTACCTACAAACAATTCATCCAGTTTATAAATAATTACTATACCACATTAATTTTTCATTTTCAGAGAGAGGTTGGTTTTTAAAGCTGAATTTATTTTCTAATAACTTTATTGTTTCAGCAAAAAGCCAAAGAAACCCCAGAGAAAGCAGAACAATCGGCTGAAACCTTTAACACTGGCTTATGACGGAGATGCAGATATGTAAAATATAACTTTCCATTGCAACAACTGGATTCTACATTGCTGTGTTGAAATCAGAGGGTGTCCAAAGGCACAGGGGCATGCTACAGAGTGGATTTTAGGCATTTTTTGTTTGTTTTCTAAGAACTGCACCATAAAACAAAGAAGAATGGCTTTCATAATGCCCATGGATATTCAAGGCATTATTGCTTTATTCTAAACCATGAGCACAGAGAATTCTGGCAGATTGGAAACATTAATGTGGTTTTTTGAAACTGTCAAAACCACCTCAGTCTCCAAACCACTGTGGCTGACTTAGTATTCACAGTTGAGAGCCCTGATGCCAGACTTACCTTCACCATTAACCAAGTATAATCACTGAGCATGAAGAGTTTGTACCAAGCTGTCTATAACTCTTTATATTCAAGCATAACATATATACTCAGTTGAAGCATATGTATTATTCTGTCAAATTATATACTTGTTAAAGAGCATTTTAGCGCTTAATAAGATGTTAACTGAGAAGATTGAACAAGTTCAGGATCTTGACAATTGTGTAGCGTGTGTTAACCTGCATTTCAGAGGGCAAAGATTCTCTTGCAAGACTGTTCTATTATCACTCCAAAGTGTCAATGCCTCATATACACAAGTATCTAGGAAGGAAACATCCTCAGATTCAGTATTTTATAGTGGTTACTGTCTGGAAAAATGAATACCTGGTGTAAAAGTTACAATATGTTTCTACTTTCTCTAATTCTCAAACTGTTGCCTGCATCTTTTTTGCTACATGTAAGGCAAATTTTTGCACTATATTAGTGCAGCATGATATGCACTTAACTAGTATTGCCATAGAAACTGCCTCTTTTCAAAAAGGATGATGATGCATCTTGTGCCAGGAGTGTCAAGTAGGCATTTAAGTTCTTGAATCCTGAAGAGAGTAGAGTTCAGCTTGGACTGTGACTGGATGGAATCAGCTAATACATGTACTGTATACACTGTTTCTCATCACAGCAGCCATTTTGTAGTCTATATCATGGCAGTAATATAAGTGTCTAGTTTCTTGCCCCATCTACTTATACAAATGTAGATTCTCCAGTTGGTTTCTAATTGTACTTTGAAGGCTGTTTATGACTAGATTTTTTATATTTGTTAACTTTGTTAAAAAAAAAAAAAAAAGAAAAGTGGTTGCCCTCTCATCTTGAGTGAAATATTCTGATTATTTGTTCAGCTAAAAAGAAGAAAATGTGTTGCTTATTTTTCCTCTCACTAGCAAAATAATTGCCATTGTGGCTGCCGATGCAAAACTTTCCATTTAGTTAGGATAACTGGATGTAATCTTGACCTTTAATTATTCAACTAAACTCTTAAAAGTACTGGTTAATGAAGGATATCAAAATATTTGCCTCACTAAACAGTCAGATAACTTTTTCTCAACTCTGGTAGTATAACAGTTCATTGCCACTCATTTCTTTACCCTAGTCCATCCCTATAGCTTTTCACTGTTATGCTTCCAAAAGGAAGCATGTTGTACTACCATTGTATCTACCTACACCTGTCACAGACAGGACTCATGACCCAAGAGGGCTTACTCTACCAGAATGGCTTCTAGGTGTAGCCTAAAAGAAAAATATAAATGACTGTGCTATTACCAAGCAATATAATGACAAGACTTTATCACGCAACCTTTCAAAAAAATTGTTGTCTAAAGTTCAGTATTAGTTTCTCAGGTCTTTTAATAACCTCCGCCATTCCTGTGCACCACTCCCAAGCACCAGTTTTTGCACAGCCAGTAAAACTACACACTTTGCCAACTTTGGGCTGGCTCGCGTGTCCACCGAAATCAATGGGCGGCATGAGTCCTTATTCCATGTCAAATTATCATTGAAATCAGTGCGTTTTGTTCAAAAATCAAAAGTAGAATATGGTAATACCCATGTTTTGATATCACACTATGATATTGATCATCTTCTCCTAATGCATAGGTAAGATGAGAAGAACAGCTGAGTGTGTCAATTAGCAATAGGCATTTGTGCAGGTTTAATTTCAGACCTTACACCCCAATCCTGCAACTTGTTGGTGGACTGCCAGACCTGCCCAACACTCCACAGAACTCAATATGGCTCCTTGCTGCAGCAGCAGTAGTTCACTTACATACAACAAGTTGCAAGATTGAGGCTTTAATCTTACATCATTTCATACAGACCTTAGGGCAAAAAAAAAAATGGTATGTACAAAGTTAAGTTCTTTGAAGTGTTTGAGTGAGAAACAATAAAAAGTTAGTTCTTACTTTATCAGACAGACGAAAAAAATGGACAGTGGGAAAGTTATCAAATTGCAAATAAAACTTTAAAAATATGATGATGAAACTTGGTGATGGATTAATTAATTACCTTTGGAAGCCCATTTCTGGGTGTTGAATTGTTTCAAGCTAACATCTCTGTCCGTGCGGATAAGTGAAGGGGGTTCTTAAACTGGCAACAAGTTACCACTGTTAGTTACACTGGCTAGTCTTTTAGCAGGAGCTCCACTGTAGCGCTCACCATGAAGCCTGTGTGACCTGAACACCCAAAATTTCACAATTAACTTCCAATTAAAGGTTTGCTATCATTTGTTGCTCCCCATATAAAATTATTATTGCTAAAACACAGACAAAGAATGGGTGTTTGGCTTTTACAATCCATACAAGTATTTTATGAGATAAGAAAATCAAGAACTGGTACAGATCTGCAATTGTATTAAATTCTGTGTTTCGTAAAACTGGAGCCAGAATAGCCTATTCTTCCTTTATGAAGAAAAGCATTATTTTAAAAAGATGTTTAGGATATGAGAAGAGTTGTAAGTCTTTAAATCTAAAAGTTGCAAAAGGTGGTCAAGTCCTATAACTACGAAACAGTTAAAAACAAACAAACAAAAAGTTTCATATAGAATGAAGAGTAATTTGCTTTAAAAACCAGAGTGCTTCTACAAATCCAGTGCCTAAAGCAGCCACTACTGTAGTTTGTTAGTTTGTGAAAGTAATGTTTCCAGTGATCAAGTGTCTCTAAACCATTCAGAAAATAGCTGAGTAGATATTTTCTTGTTGGATGGTGGTTTGTAATTTCCTTTAAAATCTGTAGTTTCTAGATTACTGTGTCTGCTTTGAGTCCTGGAGCAGTTTCTTTTCAAAGCTTTGCTGATACTGCACAAGCTTCTGTATGTTTGCTACAATGCACCCATTTTAAAATTCCCTTTCTGCCACCAAAGTGTAATAAAGTCCATTTTCCAATTTAACAATCTGAAAAGACCCACTTAAATACTTTGTATAAATCACTGTAAAATATACCTTGGATGAAACTGAAATCTTTTACCTTTATGTAAATCGTGCTCACCCAAAGTTAAGAGTTTATTTTGCCTAACTTAATTTACTTGAATATTTATTTTGTAGACTAAGGAGGCAGCTGTCTGAGGAATGTTTACTTTTTTTGGTTAATGTTAATTTGTAAATTGTGTAATGCATTTTTATTTTTTAAATTATGTATATTCTTTTTTAATGCACAAAATGTTTACGTACAACTACTGCAAATTTGTGTATATTGTCACTAAGCTTTATTCAGTTAATATAGATGGCATGTGAAAATGTAACAAGACTTACATTTTCATATGGGTTATTTTTATGTAACTGATGTATTGCTGACAATAAATATAAACACAATCATTTTCACGTGTCTGTTTGTAAATGATTTTGGCTCTGGTGGAGGGAGATGCTAATAAAAGTCCATATCCCTAAAATATTGCCATCTTTGAAATATTATTTTTACTTGAAAGTAAACTGCAAAGCTATTCCTTTAAAAAATAAAGAGAGGAAATTGTTTACCCTCACAAGACCAGACATCTAGGCCCATTCCTGAAGTCCTTATTTAGGCAAAACTGTGCAATGACTCAAGAAAGAACTGCAGTGTCAGGACCTCTCTGAGTATGAATAGATAGTTTATATTATAATTTCAAATTCTGTTGCTCCTTTCCTGAACTCAAAACTTGGTTGTTAAAAAGAAATATCAATGGAAAAGTCATTTATAAAAATATTGGGACAGATCCAACTTCCACTAAAAGATTCCCATTGATTTCACTGGATCTGGCACTGTGTTGAGTAAAGGACCAAAAAACCAAAACCCCACACCGTAATGGATTACTGTGTCATGTGCAGTGTAGTTGTTAAATGCATGATGGCCAAAATAATCCCAGTCTTTTCTAAACCCTAGAAATCTGTAGTGGATTTTCTGGAGATTGTCTGTATGTTTCCCAAAAAAGTTCAGATTTTTTTTTTTAAGTGACCATTTCTGAGGTATATTTTTATCCACCGGTTCAGTATATACCTGCCTCCAGCATTACAGTCCTACTTTTTAAAAAGCCCTCCCCGCCCCTGTGTCTGTCTGCTTAGTTTCAGATTGCAGTGAAATAATTTTGCAAAATCAAAGACCATTTTTTAAAATTCAGTCCTGTATGTACATAGGATTTGTCAGGATGTGTTGCTAGCCACACTACATGCTCTATAAAATAAAAAACCCAGCATACTTTTTTTATTTAATAAAATTGGCATAATGTTGCACTGTGACTATTCCTCAGTGTGTATTCTATTTATAGTAATAAGAGCTGTGCTCCCATTTTCAGTGTTCTAACATGCCTCCACTTTAAATAACTGGTGAAACAACCATGACACACAGTGCATTAGTACGCACTAAAGGTGTGTAAATTCTAGTGCACACTAACTGGCCTGTATGGACCCTGCTGGTGCCCAATAAAAGTTCCCTAGTGCACATGAATATAGTACTGTTTGAAACAAAATGATATTAATGTGCACTGGGGAACTTTTAGTGTGCAGCAGCAGGGTCCACACAAGCCAGTTAGCGTGCACTAGAATTTACATCTGTCTACTGCAGACTAATACACCACATAGACAAGCCCAAAGACATGTTAATGCATTTCATAAATAGGAAGCTACTTGCTCCATCTGAATTTGTAAGCCACACTGTAACTTGTAATTCAGTTTGAAACCAGGATACATACCTCTTCCTGAGGAAGACTTCCTTTGAGGGACGATGAAGGTAAGAGCAGTTTTGATTAAAAACATAAATCAGTATATTTTGTAGGAGATATAATGCTGGGGATGCATTAGAAAAGAACCTACACAATCATTCTACAGCTTCTTTCCCCTTTAAAGGACTTTTTTGCTTCCTACGAGAGCTCTGCAGATAAGTCTATGGTCCCCTCACCTCATTGTTGCAACCCTCCTGGTCCTTATTGCAACTCTCTCCCCATCATCTCTCTGCTTTTTTCTTCGTAATAGCAACAGTCACAATGCCCAGAAAATTAACAATACCTAAAATATCCCTCCAAAACCATTTACAGAATGCAATACACGTGCTTTGGAAAAATCTTTTTTGGTCCTCACAAACCAAAGGACCATAACCAAGTTGATATTAGGAGAAGTATCTAACCCACTTAACTGTTCTTTTGCAGACACCTTGCTTTATTGTCTTTTTGGCAGACTCCTTGCTCAAGCAATGACTGCAGTCCTGTTTGTCTGCAGAGCCTTCTCCAATCAGCTAATCTGAAATTTTCTCATAGAAATTGCAGATAATTTCATATTTTATAGCAGCTGGGTGATTTCAAGGCAAACAAGGGACCTCTGGGATGATTCTTTTCTTTGGTTCTCAATCAGATACACTGGTGAATGAATCTGAGCTTACCATTACTGTGGTGCCACACTCTGAAGGACTACCTGATATTTAAAATGTGATATTTGGCAAAGATTTCTTTCTGAAATGTTGAAACACCCGTTCTTCTTCAAGTGAGGGTCCTTATTTGTATTCCAAAGATGGGTGCGCATGCACACCATGCGCCGGAGCTGGAAGTTTTTCAGTAGCAGTGTCCGTTGACCCGCACGGCATCTTATGTCAACACCATGCTCCATGGAAGGTAATAAGAGGCCGTGAGGGGCGACGACCTTAGTTCCCTCTTACTGCATGGTCGGAGTCGGAATCCTCTTTTCAGGCTTGTCGCCGCTATGAGAACGACAATCCATTCTAGACAGATATTTACATAAGTAAGAAGCAGCAGCAGAACTAAGTTAGTTATACAGTAGCCCCATATGGGGCCTCCCCGTCCCCTTCGGGGGATTATGCGTCATCTCCTGGGGTTCAAGAACTGCACCTCATGCCCTTGCTAATTCTCTGTGAGCGACGAGCACACGCGTTGTCTCTACTGTCTAGGCAAGACGCACCTTGTCACCCGTTGTGATATCTGCAAGTCCTTCCCATCGAGGACCCGTGATGCTTGACTTCTGCGCCTCCGCAAGTTCCTCATGGCGGAGGCACTCCAGCCTCGTGCAGAGTCTGATCCTGGACCATCAGTGCCAATTGTGCACCAACCCCTCACCAGTGGTGAGCTCTCTGCCCTCGGCTTCATGCCCAGATCAATCAACACCACTGAGACATGAGAAGGCGTACAAGGAGAACTGCAAGCACGCTCATGAACACCTCAGCAGGTCCCCATCTGAACGTGCTTGTACTGTGTCTCAGCGCAAGCCTTCCTCCTGGCAGACCGCTTTGCCACCCTCATGAAGACTTTGTGCCACAACCTGCACTCGACAGTGCGCTGTTGTCTCTGCTTCCTCGGCCATGTGGCAGCTTGCACCTATGTGACACCGCACGTGCGTCTCCCTATGCGCTGCCTATAACTGTGGCTCTTCTTGGTCTGCAGGCCCCACATCACCCACCTGAACTTGTCCTTGACCGTCACCAGCTGGGTCTGCTTCTCTTTTACCTGGTGGACCAATCCTACCAAAGTGCTCTGAGGCACCCCATCCCCATGGCCACCCTCACCAGAGACGCCTCCCTGGCAGAGTGGGGCACACACTTGGCTAGCCATGCCACGCAGGGGAAATGGACTCACAGGGAGGCACGCATGCAGTCAACACACTAGAACTGCGCACGGTCTGTCAGGTCTGCCATGTGTTCCTGCCTCTGCTCTGCAACCAACACGTCCAGATCCTCTTGGACAACACCACCACTGTGGTACATAGACAGGGTGGCACCAGATCCTGGTCACTCTATACAGAGGCCATCCACCTCTGAAACTGGTATCTCCCCCCGCAACAACATCGTGCCCCACGCGACGTACCTCCTGGGGGTGCAGAACTTCCCGGCAGACACACTCAGCAGGACCTCAACCCCGAATGGAAACTCCACGACCCCACACTCTGCTCCATCTGCTGAGCCTGGGGCAAGCCACCTATGCAAACCGCAAGTTCCCCCTTCACTGCTTCAGGTGGGCCAGGAGCCAGGACTCCAAGGTCCAGGCCCTCCTTTCATGGCATGATGGCCTTTGGTATGTTTTTTCCCCCAGTTCCCCTCCTTCCCCAGGTCCTCTGCAAGATTTGCCAAGACTGAGCCAGGGTCATCTTGATAGCTCTGCACTGTTCCAGACAGTTCTGGTTTACTCAGACTGTTGGCCCACCTACCGATCAGACTCCGCACCCTGTGGGACCTTTTCACCCAGGACAACGGCATGGTTCATCACCCTAACCCAGGCCCGTTCCAACTGATGGCCTGGTTTTTGGATGGGGCTCATGTGTAGACAACACCTGTTTATCACTTATCCGCTGTATCGTTACACACAGTAGGCGGGAGTCCATGAGGGCATGCGGCACTGTAAAATGGAAACGCTTCACTTCCTGGGTGCAACAGCACCACCTCCCCCTCCATGCCCATCTCTATGCACATCGTCCTAAACTACCTCCTGGAGCTCAAGAACTCAGGCCTCACACTCAGCTTGATCTGCATCCACCTCGCGGCCCTCAGTGCCTTTCTCCCTCCCATGGATGGCCGATTGATGTTTACCCAGCCTACCACTACCCGGTTTCTGAGGAACTGCTCCCCACCAGTCCTTACCCCTCTCCCATGGGACCTCAAGTTCCTGCTGTCTGCCCTCACCCTGCCTCCATTCGAACTACTGGCCACATGCTCCCTGGCCTCACCTATCCATGAAGGTCCTCTTTCTGGTGGCCATCACTTCTACCTGGTGGGCCAATGAATTGTTGGCCATGATGGCTGACTCCACATGTACAGTTCTCCATAAAGACAAGGTCTCCCGGCGCCTTCATCCTAAGTTCTTCCCAAAGGTTGTCTCATCTCAACCAGTCCATCCACCTTCCGGTCTTCCATCCTAAACCACACGCCACTTCTGCAGACAGGATGCTGCACTCCCCGGACATCCGCAGAGCACTAGCCTTCTGCTTGGACAGGACTCAAGCATTTCGTGCCTCCCCATGCCTCTTTGTTGCCATTGAAGAACGGTCGAGAAGGCCGGTACTTTCCTCGCAAGGCATATCCATTTGGATCTCTAAGCGCATTACATAATGCTATGTGCATTCCAAATCAACACCACTCGGGCAGGATCACTGAACATTCCATGTGAGTGCATGCGCCCACCTCCATTTCCCTGGTGGACGAGCCCTGGCACCAGATTGGATGGGCAGCAACAGGGCACCCCGTCCACGCTTTTACAGTGCACTATGCCATCAACATGACTGTAGGATGTGCAATCCTGC